AGGGAGAGCTAGTATTTAAGCCCAGAGTCCAGCACCCGGGGAGGGGTTTACCGGGGGGGGGTGAAAATGTAACGCTGGGCTAGAGGGAGAGATACCACTGCCAGTGGGAAGCACAGCCCGTCGGTGGGGCAGGAGAGAGGTTGGACAAGAGAAAAGCAAGCCGTCCATAAACGCCCATGAATTTCCATATCATACCTAAAAACTCGAATACAAGAAAAATGTGCTAGGACGTTGTGGTTGCCTCTCCTACTCGAGTAGTAAGGCGCGGTGAATATTCCTTTTGCTTTGTCCCACCTGAGGGCTGAACTTGCGGTGCTTTTCCCTCTCGTTGCCCAGAAAAGGAATTCCAACCTCCTGGTGCATTGTTCTTGTATTCGAGTTTTAGGTATGATATGATGTTTATGGGCGTTTACGGGCGGCGGGGTAGCGGCGGTTGCTCCGTTGGGGGCAGGGCGAGTAGGTGCAGTTAGCAGCGGTAAATTCCTCGCGGCCAGGGAAGGGGCAGTACCGACCGGCACTCGGGGGATGGGGGACGTTGGGATCGGAAACTACCATACTCTTCTTACACAGTACTCGTACCGAGATCTTGTTCCAGTGGTTAGAGTACAAAACGGTACTTGTACTGTAGCAAACTTGGAAGCTAAAGGTCATTTGGAGACAATACCGGTACGGGTACAGTGCTCGAGTGCCGTAGCAACTGGGAGCGGCCACCCCGAAGACAACCCGGCAGTAGCGGACGGGAGGCGTGAATCAGAATTGGAAATAGCCCAACTTTATTCGAGTTCATCGAGATGATCAAAATTCCCTCCGGACCTTAGATTCTCGCTGACTCAATCGGGCGCAACCCCGATGCAACTGGTCTGGATTTTTGACCTGTGCAACACTGTGCTTTTGTTGCATTGTGGACATCGTTCGACCATGGATAGAGGGAGTTCGAGGCAACTATCGTACGGTACTCGTACAGTATTTGTATAACCTCCCATCTGCAAAGCTCTCATACCCTTCCGGGTACTTACTGGCGCTTTGAAACGCTTGGCTGGCCCTCTCTTTCTGTTATTCGGCAAGAGATGAATCGTGGTAAATGTCGTTCGGGTCTTGCTTAAGGGATAGCAGCACGTACTGTACCGACGGGATGGTGCGCTGATCCGCCGCAAAGGGCTGGGCAAGGATGGATGGCTCGCTCGAAAGGGAGACTGGCGGGATGGGCGAGCGGAGAGAGGTCGGAAGGGATGACGGATGAGTCGGAGGGATTGACATGATATTATCTAGGATGGCACGCGGGGTCTGGACAGCGGGTTCGGGACGGTCCACTCTGGAGGAAGAGGGGGGCGTGCCCCATACCGGGACTAATAAAGCGCTGGGCACTGTGTGATAGGTTAACCCAATAGTATCATACAGGTACTGTACTGTGTGTGACTCTCCTCCAAATCGTGGGTTAATGGAAGAGCGACAGACTACCGGGATCATAAGATTCCAACAGTCTGTCCCGGCGTCACGAGATTTGGCGCTGCGAGTACCATCGCGGAACAGTGGGCACCACAAACAAGTTTCGCTCAACCGGACTGCAAAAGACTTGCCAATTCCTGCGGTTCGAGGACACGCGATGCCGGGGCGGACTGCACCTTCCGGACTCAATATTCCTGCAGTTTCGTTGGTTCCACCTCGCGTTGGGCACAAAAATATCTAAAGAGGGTCAACAAAATAAGGTCACCACCGAGGCAGAAGGGGGGTCGTACAGTGCCAGTAGTCTGCTGCTCGCGCTTAGCGATGGTATGTTGCGGTAAATGACGAGTTTAGCCCAGCGCACAGTACCCTCTCTACTACCGTAGTACTGTCCTGGTACAGTACCCCCGCGATTGATGGTATCATACCGGTATTCCGAACATTTTCCTCAAAACACCGTCATGCTAAGTATTATTATACTCCTCTTCTCCCCCAAAACGACCCAGCAGCTGTACACTCACTAAACCTCAGAGATCAAACCCCTCCGTTTTCTAAAAAAGTGCAATAGCCTTCTCCTTCACTTGGCTTAGCCTCTTCACTCACCACTTACGGCACTGTCCCCAAGTGATGCGTTGTTTCGTTCCCATTCACAAAAAAGTAAAAAAGTAAAAATAAAAAAAAAAGTAAAAGGTAAACACACTCCACCGGTAGGCTGACGACTCCGGCCGGTACAGTACGGTACTCGTACTCGAGTCAACGGTGCCAAAGACAGATCTATGCGCGGCGCGAGGAGAGGCTTGCCAGTTGGCTGGCTGGGCGATCGCCCGGCTGTTACTGCATGTACCTGAAACGAGTGGATGGGAGTGAACTGTTGCTCATGCTGTACGAGTACCGTAACAAGGTTTCCGAGTGCAACGGCGGGGGAACATCGTACTGTACCGTACTAGTACAGAAATAACGGTAGGATAGCGTTTTTTTGAAATTTTTTTAGCCAAGTTTAAGGGAATCACATGGGACGGGTAGCGATTAGGGAGAGCGAAGCTTGGGGGGGATAAAGGTGTTGCGGTGGGCCAACGGGGCGTGTTCAAGGCTACTCTTCAGCGTGTAATACATGGATGGGGCGAGACGAGGGAGGGGCAAACAGAGCAAGGTTGTTGTTTTTTTCCTTTTCCTTCTTTCTTTCTTTTTATTCTGCCCCTCTCTCCATCTCATTGAACATGAAACGGACAGCGAATGGAGGAGGGATTGAGCAGTGAGTAAGATTTGTGGATGGATGTGTTTTCGCGGTGAATTGTTGGCTAGCGGGATGGATGGAAATGCTTGCCACATACAGGATTCAACGGCTGGTGGGATTGGAATTTGAGGCTAGTGGCGTGTGTGCGGAGTGGAGCCTTTGTGGCTGGATAGCCACAGGGACGGTACGGTAAGCAGTCGGGCTGGGTCGATGACGCCTGAATCGGGCATAGCTTGTTGACGGACGGACAGTGTTCTGGAATTGTCCCTCTTCCCTGCTGGTCGGCCGGGTACGATCTCCCCGCTTCTTCCCTGTTGGGAACGGGGGTAAAAATAAAAATCTATTTATTCATTCTGTTCCGTTTCTTGAGCTTTGGCCCGTGGGCAGTGCGAGTATGATACTCGTATGATACCGGTATCGTACTGCACTCGAGCGCTCTCTATGTGCGGTTTAGCTCGTTGAGGAGATGGATGCTGTGCGGTACGGCAGACTACCGTACCGTACAGTACTAACGCGCTTCACCTGCCAGCCTCCTCATGACTTGTTGGAACCCGTTCCGCCTATTGCTCGCGAACAATGGCCCTTTTGTAACCGCAGTACCGGCACCGGTAGTCCATTTGGATGCGGACGGCGGAGGAGGAGCGTCCCTTTTTCTACTCGTGCTATGGTGATGCTATCTCAGCCAACCATTCGCTTCCTCCACGCCCTTTCCATCGAGCCCCCTCAGAGTCTCTCCCTCCATTCCCTGGTTTCTTCTGTACCCTACCTCCTATCATAGCCTCTCCTGGCCACCCTCCCCAATTCGGTCCTCTTTCAAACTCCCGTTGCTCCCCCTTGTACTGTAAAGTACTCGAGTTGACTGCCGCCGTGCAGGGCTTGGCCTGGCCAGCAGTTCGAATCGCTTCCCTCTCGTATCCCCTGATAGGCTGTGATTGTTCACGCTGCAGACACTCTGCATAGCCAGTGTCTACGTGTTCGTCTGGATCTTGGGGGGGCAGAGGAGGACAGGATAGGAGGAAAAAATTCGGAGAGCAGAAGAGGTGGGTGGGTGGAACTGTAGGGTGGGGGGGGGGGAAGAAAAGGAAAAGGACAAAAAGCAAAAAAGGCAAAGGAAGCACGGGAAAAACAAAGGAAAATAGATCTTGCCAGCAAGAGAGAGTCTAACACGCTACACGCATGCACTCGTTCGCTGCTCGAATCGACGACAGCGATAGCTCCAATTGTTTGCCCTGATTTTGTTTTTCCCCTCTGGAATTGGGGAAAATTGACGGGGTCGGGTTGCTGAATTCTGTCGTCCTCTTTGAACCATTATCACCGATTATCACCACGAGCACTATCGATATTTACCACCCTCGACCATTGTAACACTATTATGTACATCACCCAGCGAGCTTGACGGAGGGAGACTTTGCTCGCGAGGAAAACATGAGCGGGCTGCTTGGAGGAGATTTATCTATCCCTTACCGTTACTTGTACTGCTAGCATCATCATCATCACCGTCACCATCATCATCATCATCCCCACCATCAAGGACATCATCACCATCACCACCGTTCGCACCGGGATCCGCCCCGGGTGGTGCTCGCCCACCTCGGTCCATCGGCGCCGCTAATATCAGTAGCAGCAGCACTCTCCAGACTGCCGACTATCTTCACTCGCCGCCTATTATCCTCACCCAATTCTGCTCCCCGCTCTTCTCCTTCGTCCTTCTCCGAGTCCCACGAGCTTTTTACGCCTCCTCCTCCTTCAGTAACTCGCCGCCCCCTCGGGTCTAATTCTCAGTCTGATACTGCCATTGCTGACGTCGGCGTGGCCATCCTCCCCCCCCCTCGAGCGAACCACGTCAATCCCCTGCCGACCTTGACACATCCGGCTCCTCCTCACACCCAACGACAACCACCACAATCGATCCACCTCCCACACCCACACCACTCACCAACCTCGTCTACCTCTCTCTGCTGCTGCTGCTGCTATTCCACCCCCCCGTCCCCCCTCCTATATATCCACAAGCCCGTTTCGTCTTCCCCTTCCTTTCCCTCTTCATCAAGGAAGAGGCTATCCACTAGCCATCATACGTGCCCATCCCTCCCCACGGACTCCTGCTGAGCTACTGCTCGCAGCACATCATCACCTGCACCATCGTCATCACCGCCTCTCTTCCACCTGCATCACTGTTGCCCTTCTCCTCCTTCTCCTTTACCATTCTCTCCGCTCTGGCTCTTCTCATTGCATACATATCACCCTGACCTCTGGCCCCGTGTTCACAATTGAGCCCCCCAAGAAAAAGACCAAAAGTCTCCCCCACCTCCTCTACCTCTTCAAGATGTTTGACCAACTCTTCTCGAGGAGGAACTCTGAGGTCGAGCACGCTTCCCCAACACGCGAGAGCGGGACTCCCGTGTCACCCCATATGCCCATAAGTCAGTGCATTGCTGGAGAAGTAGCAGGGATTGGTATTTCGATTGGGTATTGCGATTCCCCCCCTCTTCCCGTCATTTCAGTCGAGTCAATTGTGGCTGCTAAACCCTGGTATGAGGATTTTCCGGACTACAGTTTAATTTCCGTGGGACCCAGAGATGGAAACGAAGAGGAGCCCCCATCCACCGGACACACCCGGGGTTGGAATGCCAGCGGCTTTATCGCTGCCATCTGTGGCATAGGCATTGCCCTCTCCTTCTGGACCCCAAGGAACCTGTGGGTGATCATGGGTGGCTTTGGCCTGAGGCGGGAAAAGAGACAGCACAAGTCGCGGGAACAGGTTCGTGTCCAGGCTAGGGAAGGCGTCTATGTCCATGAGCGTATCGGCACAAAGTCGGGGGGGAAGGGTAAGCAACGGGCCATCGAGACTTCTGAATCCGAGGGCGAGTCCTCCGCCACCTTGGGGGAGTCGACCCCGCTGCTTGCCAGCCCACCCGTCCCCCCTTATAATAGGATCGAAGAGTACGATTCGGGCGAGGAGCCCGAACACACTTTTAATCGTGTCGATTCCGAGTCAGCCGAAAACTTGCTTACCACCATCGAAGAGGACATTGAGCCCCGATCGTTGCCGAGGAACTTGGGCTTCCAGCTTCCCGAACGCAAGTTGCAGACCGAGCAGCCCATCCTCGAAGGCCCTGAGGCCGCCGAGGTGGCTACCCCGGATTCCGAGGGTCAATGTCCCTTCCACGTTCGCAAGAACAGCCTCCAGATCCAGCCTCTCCCGGCGTCGATCGTCATTCCCACCGAGAAGCCGGCTTCCATCAGAAGGCCCAGATCTCAGGAGTCTATCGCTGGCTCACCGCCGAAAGATTCGCCAGCTTCATCCTACCGATCTCGCTCGCTTCCTCGTGCTTTTGCCATGCGTGATTCGGCGAGGAGGCTGGGGGAGGAGGTGGAAGCGGAAGAGAAGGAGAAGAAGGTTGAGGAGCCACAAGCAATGGAGCCCGAAGGTGACAAAGCTACTCCCGAGCCTATCCAAGCCGAGGAGCCCAAGAAGGTGGAGAAGAAGGAAGATAAGGAGGAGACTCCAGTCTTCAATCTTATCCCCGCTACTCCTGCCACCATTCCCCAGGAGGTTCGCGATGCTGCCGAGGCTTCCATGAAGGAGACTCGAGATGACGAGGCTACCACCGAAGAGGACAGAAAGGACTATCGCAAGACCTTGAGCGATAGCGCCAGCATTAGAAGCAAGAAGCACTCGAGGGCCAATTCCCTCTCCGATTTAAAAGAGGAGCTTGAGCCTGCCGCACCTGCTAGGGGTAACAGTGGTTCTTTGACTGTTGATTACAAGGGCAAGCAACCCGCCACTTCCGACGAGGACGATATCTCGATTGTAGACCACCCCGTCTCCGCTAGCCCCGACCAACTTTCCATCAACGAGGAGGCGAAGAAGGCCGAGGAGCCCAAGCCAGCCCCCGTTGCTGACTCCCCATCCCACGGACCCCCGCCATCCCGCGGCGGAAGCTTTATGGATGACGGCAAGTCTATCAGCTCGCAAGACCCCAAGTCCAGCCCCAGCCGCAAGGGATCCTTCCGCCGCATGGTTTCCGCCGGCCTTCCAACCCGCAAGCCATCCAACGATGCGATGAAGAGGGAGGGCTCCCTCAGGAGGTCGCTTACTTCGGTAATGCCAGGTGGAAAGTCGAAGAAGAGGGACAAGTCGGCACCTCCGTCATCGGCATCTTCACAGATCCTCAAGCTAGGTGAGCCAACGCCCCCACCTACTCCCCCGGAGACTAGGACGTCGAGAGACGAGGCAGAAGCAATTAGACCGTCTTCCCGCCGCTCAGAGAGATCAATTACACGATCCATGAGCTGGAACAATGCCATCTCAAAACTGTCCTCGGGCGATAAGAGGCGAAACATGGTTGCTAAGCAGGCTTCAGACACTGAGGCATCTGCGGGTTCCAAGTCGACTACCGATGTACGCGAGGCTGTCAAGCCGTCCAACGGATCCATCAATACCGCCTCCCCGGTAAAGCCCGACGAGACCCCCGGCGTATCTCCGGTTGCCGGTCCTTCAACCGACGACGCGCAAAGCACGAAGGAGGAGGAGAAGCTGAAGCCGCCCTCCCGCCGGACGAGCTGGTGGGGCCTTTCAAAGGAATTGAAGAGGAAGAATAGCATTGCGAAGTCGGATAAGGGTGAGGAAGTTGTCACTAGACCCGCTACCGCTACTTCTACTGCTGCCCCCGCAGTAGCACCCGCTACCCCCGAAAGAAACGGGAAGGAAGTTGAGCGGCCAGCTGATGTTACCACTGACGCCACTCCCTCTCCCGCTCCCGCCGCCGTCTCCACCGAGGGGGTTGCCAAGTCCGACACCCCGGTTACCGCTACCGTTGAACCCACCACTGCCGAAACCCCCGTCGCTGAGGCCCCTGCAGCAGCTGCCCCCTCCCCCCCGAAACCAATGCTCAGAGAACGAGTAAAGTCAGTAATGGCCTGGCGCAGGTCATAAACATGCCGAATTTTTCCCCACTTTTCTCTATCTCCACACGGCCTAATCACATAATTTGCGATGCGAAAGCTTTATTGATTGATTTGGTTCCAAATTGCAAGTAGCGCCCATCTAAAGCGCGCATCTACCATTTCATGATCCACTTTTTTCATTTTTTAATTTCTTTTACACGACAAGATTGAAACGAACAGAACGGACGAGAGGACGATTCTTGTATAGTATGGTATGGTATTGTGTCTTTTGTTTACATTTTTCTATTTTCTCTCGTTGGATATCTATCTATTTTGCTTTCGGTTCCTCGCATAGCAATATGATGTAGAAGTGCATCGCATGGGGTTTTTCCTTTTCCTTTTTTTTTTCTACCTCCGTTTTTCTGTTAGCTTGGTAGCATTCGTTTGGGGGAGTTTTTTCATGATTCTCTTTTTATTTTATTTTCTCATTCTCCTCTTTCAAGTATGGATGGATGATATGGATTTATGCATGGATTTGAGCCGTTATCATAGCGAGTTTGGCGGAGGAGGTTTTTCTTTTCTTTTTCCATTCGTTACAGGGTTTTTACATCACATCAATGAATGATCGTATGAAGATTATTGGGTCATTTATGGTCACTCGTGAGAAGTAGTTCCGACCGCCGCTTTGTGGGGCGATCAAAAGTGCTTTGGGGGGCATTGGGATAGTGAATGAATGGACTGTTTTATCGTCAAGTCGGTATGAACTGGTGTGATGATTGGATTGGATTGGATCCAGACCGGGCTTCTATCATCATTATTCATTATTGTGCTAGTTCCAATGTCTGTGCTGCGGGGCTCGTGGGGGAACTGGGCTGTTACGCTCGGAATATCAACCCCGATGATCGATGGACGAGCGCGAGGCGACGAGTAACTTGACCTAATCAACTGTAACATGAAAAAAAGAACACCGCAAAGGCGCACACGTCCACATGATATACTGCAGAAACCGGAAAACCAACCCCCTACGCACGCGGGGCGAAGAATTCCCCTCGTATCATACTAAAAAAAAAAAAAGAAGCCTACCGCTTGGACATGAGTTTTTGTGATGACGAGAACTCGCTCGTTCAGAGGACTGCTAGTCCTTCCTCAGGCCGTTAGATTCAGGGAGGGGGGGGGGGGAGGTGTCGGGGAAGAAGAAGAAATTCCACTTCAAAGTTTAGCAGAGAAGGCGTTCATAACGACTCACTCGTGGACCCTGCAGGTAATGTACCCATACAGCACTCGTACCCTTCCTGCATAACCTGCTTGCACGGAGACTGTGTCTTTGTGTCTTTATGTGTGTGTGTGGGCGGGGGAAGGGGGCTGGTTCAGGTTTTTTTATTATTTTACTTTTTGTGTGTGTGTGCACCGGGGATAAGTATGTCTTACCCGTAGACTACCGTTCTGTTCGTTCACCCATTCATTCATTCATCTTTCATACTTGTGTGATACTCCTATAACACACTAAATTCCATACCGTATCTCTTCTCCCCCTCTCGCTTCTCCAGCTGCGTTGATCGATTTCGACCACTTGGGAACGACCGTAGCCTACATACCGGCCACGATGTGATAAGTTATCGGCGAATGCTCTGCGTCGTCTTTTCCTAGGATGGTCTGCAACAAATGCGGGGGAGGAGGGTTGTAGTCTACCGGTATGATATGATGGATGCGTAGCGAATCAGTCGGTGTCTGTCACGGTGGGTTAATCGATTCAATTTATCGGTCGGTCGTTCGGTCGGTTGGCTGGATTTGTCCGTGCGAGTATCATGCTCATAGGCTATCGGGCAAGTGCCGGTGTTGGGGAGACTAGACTACCGGAGACCGTCTCCCTCGACCAAGTTAATTCCGTAATCAAGATTTCGGGCGTGATCACTATTTCTTGACGGTTGGTTGGGAGGGTGATAGGTAAATTACTGTGCTCGAGTATTGCACGGTAGACTATCTATTAGGTTAGGTTAAATTTGTATCGCATCGCGGCGGGGGTTGTGTCGATGGATCTAGAGTGGACTTGACTTGGACCATCTCACGGTTTTCATCGTGGTATACGCACCTGCGACTTTGAGGCTTTGGGCGAGGAGTGATATGATAGATAGGATGGTTTTCATGTTCTTGTGCATGAGCGGCGCTTTGCACGCTCTCTTTCGCCTTCTCTCTTTCTCTCTTGAGGATATTATAGCCGGGCTCAGGATCCCTTGGTTTGCCCCCTCGGCTCGGAGTTGTGTATGTGGGGGGGGTTCGGGAGCATGGGGTGTCACTCTGAAGCCTTGTCCCGGGTTTCCGCTGACTGTATGATAGGAGCACTACGATATCACGTGTGATGGGAAAAAGTTGGCATGATACCGGTACTGGTATTGTAGCAGGCTAAGGGTAGTTTGAAATTGTGGTTGCCCTAACGATGAGACTTCAGGATGGACTGCATAACTCGTGGTATCGGTGCCACTGATAACGATACTGCCTTCTTCCTTCGAGATGCCGCGGTATATTCCCTCACTTCTTTCTCCCCCGTGCGAAGTAATGCTGAGCTGAGGTGCTCTGGCACTTGGCCTATCTTTCCTCTCGCATGCGCGGTCCTTGTTTCATCGGTTTGGTAGGAAGGGCGGCGGACAGTGTGTGCAGAGCCAGTCACTCATAGAGCATCACTCGGCTCACCAAGATGAGTGTCCCGATGATTGAAATTGTGAAATGGGCTGTATGAATAAAAAGTGTTTACGGGCTTGATTTATCTTACTCGATTACTTCAAGGGCTGGAATTTCCAATATTACAACCCCCCCCCCCCCCCCCCCTCGCCCGCCTTTTCTTGCACCTACAGACCCACCCACGTTGCTGACCCGCCCGGTCTACTAGCTCCTCCTGTGCCCTCCGTAGCCTCTCGGCTTCCGTGATGGAGGGGTTTCAGTGGGACCCCTCTGCCCACCACCCCGGCCCTCCGCCTGCGGATCCCGCTTCCTCGCTCGCGAGGGCCCCGGATTAGTGCCCCACATGGGTGCAGGCGTATACACCGGTATCGGAACCGTGAGTCCATACCCGGTCGGGCCAACCCCCCAAGAAGGTCTGGTAGGCTTAACGAAACCCTCCATAGGTTCTCTGAGCGTGGAAGTGGCGGCCACGGGGCTGGGTTCTGCATCGCCCTTCAGTTCCTGGGCACAATACCCCGTTCCGTAGACGTTATTGCACTGCAGGACGGCAACGTTTCCATTCTCTGTCCACATGGAGAAGTCTTCCAACTTTATGTCGGTCAAGGGGACGATATCGCTCCCGCGGATAACTATGGGGCCGCGGGAGGCGCCGTTGTTCACCGTTCCCGTCCAGTTCCTGAAGTGAAGGTCTGAGATGGCGATAGCGCCCGTGTTGGGGTCTTTACGCCCGTACCAGTACTGGTCTATGTCGAGGGCGTAAGTGGTATCGTAGGCGTGGAAGTTCTCGAACAGGGAGTTGCGGACGTGCCCGACCGCCCCGGAGCCTCCAGGCCAGGTCTTTATCATTAGCATCTGCGTGCACTGGTGCACGTATATGTTCCTCATGTGGATGTATTCGATATCACTTCCAGCTGTTTGACCCCCTTTTCAGCTATGCGAATACTAGGGGGGGGGGAGGGAATAGCATACTGCCTCCTGCGTCCAAAGACCCGATGCTCATACCCCCACTCTGATTGCAGTAAATCTCCTCGATGAGCACGTTTCTGGAGGGGGTCTTGACGGAGATGCATTCGTCACGATTGGTAACCTCTATGTGGTGAATGTAACAGTTGGACAAACATGTTAGGTTGATTCCGTCTAGGCCACCTTTGTTCCCGCCGCGGACTGTGATGTGATAGTTTTCGAGGTTTGTCGCGTCGTTATGGAATAGGTGGAAGGTTGGTGAGTCGATCTGTGTGTCCTTCGTTAGTACTAGTGCCTAACCGGGGAAGAGGTGGGGGGTGGGAGATACCAGGATTAGGTCGTGCACCGAGTAGTCTGTGCAGGTCATGAACTATCGCTCCTTAGCTACTTTTATTTCCTACTTGCACTCGTTCGGGGGTTGGTAGAGCATACCCTCAAAAGCCTTGCATCCTGGGTGGACCCGGAAATCCTCTTCTTGTAACCCTGTCCTTGGATAGCACCTTTGCCATTGCTAGAGAACATTTCAAAATCCGTGGCTCTCTTCACGACAATTGCGTTACCATTGAAGCGTCCGTCCTCAGACAAGGTGATTAGTCCATCCAATTGGAAGGCCCACTTGGTTCCCGCATTGAGCACCACTCCAGTAGTAACTGTCACCACCACCACCATCAGCCCACTGTGGGCCCAGGGTCCACAAAAAAAGGCGGGAAATGACGTACTTAGATACTCCCCCTCAGGCACCAACAGGGTCGCTCCCCCATTAGCTTGAAGGACGCACTTGGTGAATGCGTTGGTAATGGCAACGCCAATATCCGTCTTCCCGTCCGCCACACCCCCGTATTTGAGGACGTCACAGATAGTACCAGACTTCTGGCTGAGTGGGGTTTTAGGACCCACTGGAACCCCACTCACCAACTGTCCTATTACCCCCCGGACTAGCAAAACCCCTGCAGTAGTGGTGGCGAGAGAGAATCTCATGGTTGGAAGTTATTAGGAAAAGAGTGGAGCGTGAGGAAAGAAGGGAAATCCGCACGGCGGACGTAAGGAATGTGATTCTTGGGTTGAAGAAGGGGAAGAAAAAAAGAATGGACAGAAAGGGGGGCCTTCCTACTTCTCTGTATATCCACCTACAGTATCGTGCTTGTGCCGAAAGGTCTATTTCTGAAGGCGGTAGCGAAGGGGGAGGGGGGAGGGGGGGAAGGAGGGGATTTATATTCATCATACCCATATACAAGTACACGCTACGGGGATACTTCCATGTACGGTAGTGTGTGACTGAGAAATTTCCTGCCTACCGCTACTACCATCCTGAAAGTTCTGGGGATTCATGACCAAGCTCGAATTCCCGGGAGGGAGGATTCAGTAAATGAAGGGGTGGGGGAAATAGGACTGGAATACAAGGGACAATTGGCACATACTGTATGTCCCCATTGTGACTTAGAGGGGGCAGTTGATAGCATGTTGCATCAATGCTTCGTCCCGGAGCTGGTATATGGGAGGGTTGAATAAAGGATGTGGACTTGGGCGCTGAGGTAGAGTCTTTCAAGTATACAGGAGGAGTGAAGTTGATGTTTGAAATTTCCAGGGAAGGGGATCCCCCTTCACAAGAACTTACCGCTAATTGTCTTGTTATTGGTTTATGAATTCCCCTATGATAACAAGACGTCATGGTTATTTTATTTAGATGTTTATATCGCACCTAACTGCTCTATAGAAATTGAGTGCTACCTTGGACAATTGAACGATTTTACGAGGGGGGGGGGAAGAAGAGAGGGAAGGGGAAAATACCCAAACACAAGGGGGGATTGATTACCAGTCCCCACCACATCTTCGCGAAGCCAATATATTCCCGACAATCCGCTCCACGATAACCCGGTCTATCCTTCACGTGAATGAAGTGTCACTGACCCGGGCGGGGATTTTATTCCCAGCGCCCGGGTACTGTACTGTACTGTACGTACGAGCAGCGTGGAGTTCGCGCCGGTGTTTCAGGCCCGGCTGCCAGGGTTATGGTACAAGTACTGTAGAGCCTGGACATGCTTTACTGTAAGCGAGCCCCGTCAGGGTTTTTACCTCTTTTGTAGAATCGGGGGATTGGAGGGGCGTTGACGGTGGATTGAGATAGAGTGAGAGATGTGGACTACAATAAGTGGGCGCTCGTTCCGGTGCGGGTTGTCAACCGGGGTGAGGTTAATCTGCGTGTTTGGTACAGTGCACTTGAGATCAACCCTCACCGGTGATTTAATTCTTTCTACACAATATTGAAATATGATACATACGGAGGTACAGGGCATAAGTAATGTAGGTTCCACGAACAGGGGTATGCCACTACCAGGGATGAAGGTAGCCAATTAGGTATAGTGGCATAGAGCCGGTCTTGGGTAGCAACTTGAAAGCAGGCGTAATGGCCTGGGAAATATTTAGTATTCACAATATAGTATCCTACATGTGTGATATATACAGTACCAGTTATCCATGGTATAGCGAGCTCACAGGATAGCAAGAATGCCCATACAAGATATCACTGTCCAATATAAGTTTTATGAAACATGCTCACCAGATGGTGAATTAGCTTTGCCATAATATACCATTCCTAATATTTTTTGACAAGACCCTTTGCATCGATCACAGCCTGACATCTTGCTGGCATGCTTTCCACCGGTTTGCTAAATTCCTGCTGCCCAATAGCTTCCCAAGCTTCCTTAACTGCACTCCGAGTCCTTAACCTATCATATGACATCTGTTCTGGAAAATTATCCTGTAGATAATTTTTCATAATATGCCATGCTCTTTCAATAGGGTTTAAGTCAGGTGAGAAAGCAGGCCAGAAAATAACCTCTATGTCCCTCTACTGAAGCTCAGTTGTAGTATCTCCTGTAGCATACCCAGGTGCTCCATCCTGTATAAGCTTCAAGTAAATTACATCCCTCCTGCACAGTTCCATATACCCATGAATTATGGGAATAGTATGTGCACAGTAGCTTTCTGCATTGATGGAACCCCAATTGTTCTCCCAAAATATGCCTGGACCTTGTATATTACCATGAAAATAGCTCCAAAATATCCAGCCTTGCTTTCTCTGATGTTTTTCTACTATATAAGTAGGATCCCACTCTTTACCAGCTCTTCTGATAACTCAAATTCTAGTATGCCTTCTACTAGTAATCCAGGTCTCATTAGTCCACAGGATTAAATTTCACTAGTCTTGTAACGAGTTTGTATACTCTTAAGCCCATCAAAATCATATTTGGTGATTTCTTTCTGAGATTAGAGGTTTTTTCATTGCCAGACATCAGTGAAAACCTTTCTTCATCGAAGCAGTCCAGATAGCTTTTTCTCCTATATTTAAATCCAGCTCCTCAGCCAAGTGCTGGAATGAAAGGTGGCTATTTTGAGAAGACATGCAGACATATGTAACAAGATCCTTGATTTGTATTTAGGTGAGGGTGGGTGAGTGACCAGATCTTTTTGTTGGAGAAGCTAGACAAGTGAGAGAGCATGCATATTTGATCTGCCTCAGGGAGAAGCCTGTCTTTTCTTGGATCTGTATATACTTCCAGCTGATTAAGTGAAGAAGCTGGCAATTGCACCACTGATAGTAGGTAAGCTAGAAACTCTAAGGATGTAGTAGGAGGGTAACAGACATTGTGGTATAGGGATAAGCTAAGAGGTATGGTGAAAAGTAAAAATTCAAGTAGAAGGTAGAATAAAAAACTTTGTATTAATAGGTAATATCTCTGATCCTGCTCATGAAGCTCAGTTATGAGCCTTCATAAAATCAAACATCACAAATTTTTTACTTTTCAGAATCACCAAGCAGTCTTACCCAATCTGTCCTCACCTCCTGCGAGTAACATATCTCTGTTTGTAAAACCTATATTACTTATACCCTGTACCTCCATACAGTTGCACCCTACTATCTTCAATCTTACTGAAACTGGAGACTGTTACACATAAAAGCGTAATCGGTGTGGCACGTGACTAAATGCATAAGGTCATGTGTTCGACTCCGGGCCCCGCCGTAGTATTCGTAGCGCTAAGATATTAGCGCACGATACGATAAGGCATCTATGCGGCCCACTCCGCGGAGATATGAGGCATGCGACCGAGGGGTTTTCGCTGGATAACATAGAAGGAGCTCCACTCTACAAGATAAGACTTAGTTGGTTCAGATTGGTCGGTTAGTTATTGAGCTACGACCTCTGCAAGTCTATATGCAATTACAAGAAGTAATATGCATGTCCCTTCAGCTTGCGTAAGCTAGAGTCATCCGGAAGACCTAGTTACGATTGGTTAATAACAACTCACAGGTCGAGTTAGTTATCTTCGTCATGCACTCTAAGCTATGCACATAGCAGAGTCATTGATAAGTCCTTTGACGGAGCTGATCACTCCACTAAGGAAGAGAGCGGGGAAGTTAGTTTTCAGGGTCAAACGGAGTTCGCACTCCAAAGACACTGAAGCGTTAGTATGGCAGGTACATAGTCAGTAAGGGATTGAATGTAGGCCGCGACCACCCAGACGCAGAATATAAATATCGAGGTGCCTCCCTAGCTTTAAGTCTATGATCAGCGACCGGAGAAGAGATCTTATCAATATATTCGTTCTACTTTACTTCTATCTTTACGAGCCTTCTTGACTATCTCCGAGACAGAAGATTACAGGGCCTAGTGTACACTCGCTTGACTTTAGAGTTACCTACCCCCTAACAGAGACCCTGCTAAACTGGACAGCAGAACAGGCTGCCATAATTTCTCTCAGAAATTTTCCTACTAAACTGGAAAAGATGACTTTTAGATTTGTATGGGGTTCAAAAAATATTACCTCCATGTCCTCACAGAATCCCAGTCTGCTGAACTAGATACAATAATCATAGTTATAATAGACTGTACCAAAATAGGAAAGAGGATAGGTGGTCAAACCTATAGGCTATTTGAAGAAAAAAGTAAAGAGATACAGAGATAGTACTGAAGATAAGGAAAGCCAAAGAGGAGGAAGTACATATAGTAGACTCGGAAATAGTAGGACAATATAGAATGTAATATTGTAACACCATATGTAACTCCTACTACAATCAAGCCACTGATCCAACCAAGAAAGAAGACTGGCTTAACTGTATTTCAGAAATATAAACTTTGTTATTCTTACACAAAGTATCCTTGTTTGAAGTTAGAAGGCTTTACTCTGCTCAATAACTGTCACTAATATCTAAATAGACAACTGCTTGCAGTTTTAAACTATTTAATTATTTGAATGGATAGAGAAAAAAGGTTAAGAAAGAACTTGAATTTGGTAAATAAATTTCCACTTAATGTAATATTTCAAGAGCTTAATTAAACTGTTAAGATATTGATTTTGCCTCCAAAATTGTGAACAGGGCTTTATAGCATATATATCTTAGGCTGTAGATTATTTTAAAGTACTCTCTTCATATCATGTTAGGTAATTTCTTTAAGAATTAAGTATGGTAAGAAATTGAGTATAGTTCAAGGAAGCTAGAAATGGGAATAAAATAAAATAAACTATATTTAGGTGACTGGCAATTGAGATTGTGATTGCACTAGTATAAGAGATAATAGAGTACATAAAAAAAGCAGCAGTATTGATAAAATATTATCTTAGCTCAATTCAATAAACCAGAGGTTTGTCTACTAAAGAGAACTATGTTCAGGTTCTCATACAAGCAGTAACATTTCTTAAACTTACCCAATCCTATACCACTTTACAGGCTATGATTTTTAATAATTTCTATTATTCAAGCAAAATTACTTTTGTATCTTTAAATTTTATTTTAAAGTACATCACTGAAGCTTTTAGTACTTGTTACTGTCAAGATGTTTGTATGCAATGTTTTAATTACCTACTTCATAGTGATCATAGCAACTCAGACTCACATACTGGTACTCTACCTTGCATTCTAACCTCCACTTTAACCTCTGCCATAGTATCTGCTTTAATATCTATAATAACCTCAGGTATAATATCATATCTCATTGAACTCCAGAATGCCGCAAAAGATTACCACTATTATGCCTCTAGTAGTTGGAGGTAATGGCGCTGGCATGATTGTAATAGTATCATATCATACCCGAGTATCATAATTTTTTTCCAGTAATTTGCTCTTAGGGCCGTGCATATAGGAGGACGAGGTTGTATTAGAGAAAAAGATAAAAACCACATACCAAGGTTCGCAGTGCCCCACAATTCCGCATTGCATATACAGAAAACCGGGCCTCAGATATTAAATGCATCCTATCCACCGGCAGAGTTGGGCCAGGAACCCGCAGAATTAGGAATGTATCTGCTGCTATCCTACCAAGCAGAGCTTTGCAGATTTGTCAATGTGGCCAAATTAATGATGTGTTTAGTGACCATTAGCCCTAACCTACCAACCCCAAGTATGATATTTAAAAATAACAAACCTAGCTAGCTTACCAGCAGAGGTATGATAGGTTTCTATAGATTCATATCCAACGGAGTCACGGTGCTCTAACTGGAATCCATGGGATGGCTTTTTCATCGGGCAACTACTGGCTGCTTGCTACAGTTGGGATTATAACTGAATAAACATAACCGCCAATGACAGACTACACTCCACTAGAGCACTGGGGCAGTCGTGATGCAGCGTGGCACTGTACGTAACCTCACTATCTCCAGAAAGGGAGAAGAGATATAGCAATTTTTCTGCGAGTAGTGCTAATACACCGAGTTGCCCAATTCAGAAACCCAGGACGAACAAAGCGAGGAGATCAGTCCGTAACTACCCTCAATGGGAGCCACCCTGGGGTACAAAAGTGCTCCTAGAAATACCTACGGGAGGCCGGCCCCGAATGCGATGCGGGTAGACCACGATATATGTATAACCTTAGGATTCAGCAGCACCATAAGCAGGAACATATATCCGCGATCGCTACAAGTGCGAAAAAAAAGGCCGTCTACCATCCACACTGGAGCTTCGCAGATGTCCACCTGGAGGTTAAAACCGCTCGAGAACCGAGAGTGAAGCTATATCATCATCAAAAGCGGCGTCCAATCCTACAAGAACCTTCTTTGGGACAGCGAATGGTGCGTCATCATGGCGGCATATAGCCTTGTGCGAACTGCACCCTTTTTCGTTCCCTGGGCCAGCTTGTCACTAGTGATTCCCCTCCAGTCGCTTCCTTGGCAATTTATTTCCCAAAATATCACCCATACGATAACTTATATTTCCCCAACCTTCACTTTGGAACTTGGCTTGCACACACAACATCTCAACCCTAGCTGTTCCAATCTTAGGCTCATAGCAGAAGTGGATGTACCCTTGAGAGGGTCTCCGAACTAGCGCCTAGAGTTTCTGAATATCATACCGGAGGGGGGGGGGGCTTTTTAGTGGTAGATTGACTAAATGCACCAAAGGAAGTCTAGGACCCTGACCTACCTTTACACCAGGCCAACCAACGGAACGGCATAAAGCAATTTCTATAACTAGTCTTCCTTGCAAAGCATTGATTATGCACCTGATATTACAATATCAACTATCTATACATCGCGACGGGTAACGATACAGCATCCCGGTGGCACCAGTTCCTCCACGCATGCTCGGCCCGCTGTACGCCCATACGCAGTCGTGCTTCGGAGGTAATCCATAGGCGTGGGCGCATGGTGGGGTTGTCTTTTTTCTTTTCTTTTTTTTTCTCCACATCTACCTAGCTATCACATTGAGGTCGGTGTCTGACTAAGGGGTTACACGCAAGGGAATTGCAATCCCTACATCTCTTGAAGGACCTTTTGAAAGGGATTGGCAGACTCAATATTATCCCCGTGGAGGCCCTTCCTGGTAGGCTCTTGCCATGCTAGACCGTGCCTTGGACATATGGAGGTTATCCCCATGCTATCACATCATAGATTCGCGAGGCCACAGATACCCGGGGACCTCTTCTGCTCCGAGTATGTCCTACTAGGGTGCTATCTGGGGACTTGTGTTGGAAGGGGGGGGGGGGGGTAGGGGCACTGTACTCTACTATCCTAAAGTAAAAGTGTATCCGCTGCAGTTATGGATCATTATAACTGCATGCCACCTACTCCTCTAAATTCCTAAATCCATATCCCCAATATTCGGCCGGCACCACTACCACCACATTACCATACCAATCTCCCAAAAGTATGATACTATACAAGTATTATACCGTACTGCTGCTATCTACCATACCCAAACCCCACGAGCTTAAGCGCAAGACTCCGTGACATGTATTCTAGGTCCTAACCCGACGCCTAGCACGGCAAGCGAACCGACCAACTCATCATAGCTCCAGTACTACAGGACGATATAATACTTCCCGGCACGTCCCGTATCGTCACTCCTAGGGCATCGTAACGGCGCCAAGCCAAAGGAAACGGCTAGCACACCCGTCACGAGCTCACCCCGCCGGTTTGCTGGCAGAGGTTACCTTCGCCTTATCCTCCATCCGCGCCCGAGTGTCAGAGATTACCGCTTTCATATTCATAGTTTGTTGGGCACCCGTTATCATTACAAATACATGTGAAAATAGTTCTGGGAATATATCGAGTGAGATATTATGAAGCCGTGAAACAAAAAAAAAAAATACAATGAATAACGTGAGCTTCATTAAACCACTCCCACCAGCCTCTGTAGCCAGGAGCAAAAAGAACGAATTATGCTGCTGGGTTGAGAGACAGTTTCCGCCTGTTTGTGTAGATCATTAGGAATTACGGTTTGCACCAGATGCCCTTCTCCAACGCCCCCTCTTCGGTTCCCGAGTAGTAACCGCTGGTGATCAGGGTCTGCTCCACATTGGCCCAGTAATCCCATTTTCCGGCTTCACCGGTCTTAAGATCCAAGTCTCCGATGCGCGCTTCAACACCGCCATCCAGGTCGATGCGAAGGAAGATGGTGAGGTCGCGGATGGTCATGGCGGTGACAAATCTCTCCCGGCAGTATTGGCTACCTTCTCGCGCAGCCATGATGGGGCCCAGGGGGTCCATCTCAAGTTGCAAACGCTTCAACAGGGGCATCAACTCACTGCTGACAAGGAAGTCCGCAGCTTGGTCCTCAATCACTTTCCTGGCATCCTCCCAGGCCTCCCCATGACGGAGCTGCAGATTCTTCGGCTGAATAGACGGCAGAATGTGCTGCAGGGTATTCCTAACACGTGGCTCCTCTTGCGAGGACAGATCGAGCGGGCAGTGGCTCGGCTTTCCATGCTTCTGGAGACGCAACGCGCAGGTTCTGCATCGCCTCCAGTTGGCGGGAGCGGAAGGAGATTGAACCACCCATTTTGGCTTGAACTCGACAAGGATCTGACGGGTCAAGAAGCCCTTACTCTTGAACTCCTCGGCAGTGACGCCAGAAATTGGCGGGGCGATCGCACCGTCGATGTCCGGAGGTGTCGGCGGGAGATCCTCAATAGCACGCGGACTCATATCCAGGATTACGAAGCCATAATCCTCCGCTTCCTCTTCAAGGTATAGACCACGTCTCTTGGCGGGGCGCTTTCCGGCATTCTCCATCTGAAGGAGGTTGACGTTTTCCCGAAGTATGACAGATCTCGGGACCCTGATAAGCGTTGTCGGAACCAAGAGATGAGAAGGGAAGAGGGGGTGAAAAGTGTGGAGGAGGTGAGAGTACGCTAACAAATTGGGCTGGGCAGAAGGCAGAGCTTTGCGGAGTCGCAACAACCTGTTGACATACCCATCCACTGGAGGAGCTCCTGGCGCGGCGGAGAGGCGATAGATGATGTTTGCCGCGCCCTCCGCGAGATACGTCAATTGAAGGTCTCCGGAGAGTAGCGGCACTGAAGAGAGATCCACTAGCGGGGGGACTGCGGTGGGCGAGGTAGCATCGGCGGGACTATCGGGTGGGGAAGCTGGTGCTGCCGAAGACATGTTTGCCGACGACGGTGGTGAGGAGGATGCTGAAGTTGAGGCTCTGCGGAGGATGTTCTTCGCTATCCAAGGCCTGGCGTTGGGAACGAGAGGGATCAGGGCGACGGAAAGGACCAGAACTAGCAGTGACGCGGCAATCATGAGATGATAGGCTTGGTGACAAGGGAGACGATGGGGAGAAGGCACGAGCGAAGTTTAGCGCAGCGGTGGGACTCTTGACAGTTGCACTATCGACTCTGCTGAAAATGAAATTGGTGGCAAGAGGACAGGTTGCTTTCATGTCAGTAGTGGTGCTAACCCTTTTCACGTCAAAGAGGCTCAAATGCCTAGCTGAAGGAACAAGATCTGGTCGGTAATGAAGAGCATTAGGAAAAGGTGAAAGGAGAGAAGGGGGAGCAGGGTAGAAGAAAGGGAGACGGACGGGCCAAAGTAGGTAAGCGAGGGAGGATTTGTCCCCAGCACCCCACCGGTCTCATACTACCGGTACACCCACCGAACACCGGCCCCCCAATCTGCAGTCACTCACATTAGTATCTCAGCGGCTGCGATCGTGAGTGTGAGACGGGGGAGTCTCCGTCATTTGTCTCTCCTATAATGATATTATTATAACAATCGGCAAAGTTCACTTTTTGTACTGGTTGGGCAACAGCAGTGAATACGGGTAGGGTTCTGTGGGGTAGGTTCCAAGGGGGGATGGATCAAGGACAAGGGAGGGAAGCGGGGAGGGAGAGTGGGAGTGAAAGAAGAAGAGAAAAAGAGTCAAGCTCGGTCTTCGAATATGCCCGGCCCAGTCGCACGGGGTTCAAGCGCTTTGGCGGCGGATGAGCTTGTTCTTTTCCCCTTCACCCTTAGCCCCGAACCTTTGCCTGCAGTCAGACCTGCCAGTGCCTATGAAATCCCCACTTTCTTCTTAATCGATTCACCAGATGCGCCCTCTTCATGCACAAAGATCCTATCGGGAGAGGGAGGAGCCCTTTTCTTTCTCGGCGATCCTTGTGAAACCCAAGCCTACAAGTACTTGTACTCGAGTACCGTACACGACCAGGCACAAGTAAAAAGCGGCACAGTGGAGATGTCAATCCCAGTCCCACCTTTCACACTCACAAGCGGAGGATGAGACAACCCCATCCCATCTCCGCCAATAGGGTACTCGAGTACCATATGATGCTCTGTACGGACTGGTTGGTTGCTGGGCTCGGTGATGTCGCCCCGTTTGGAACACACCGAACACTACTACGGTAGTAGCACAACTGAACCCTGGTTGTGCCTCATCCATTGACTCTCCATTCCTCGAGACTATCCCTTCGTTCGGATGCCGAATTTCGCGGAATTTTCGCTCGAGAGCTACTGTACCGTGATGGAATACGGTACTAGGCTTTGGGGGGCATAGCTGAGGTCTTCTGATGGTGACCCTGCCAATAAACGCTTCTGATTCGGGGTATCTTTTCGGCTTAACTTAGGTGGTACCTGTATTACCGGTACTGTAGTATCATACCATAGTAGGTGAAAGGCGGGCTAGACTGTGGCTCCGTCAATACACACGAAGGGATGGTACGGTACAAGTACCGATATGCAAAAGTTTCCGCCCGCCTTTGCCCGTCCATCCGTGAAATGCGACCCCCCCAAACCCTTCTCCATGCACAACTTGGCGTACCCTTTCCCCTTCATGCACAGGTATTCTTTGTTACGGTATCATACGGCACGGGCAGGGACGGCATACCGACAGCAGGCTCGCAGTCGGCCCCTCGGGCCCCTCGTTGCTCGAATGGAAAGCGCTAGAGGGCTGATCTTATCTCGACCCGACTTCCCTATTGGCCGGTTTTTCAATGCTGTTGAGGTTAAAGTGCGGTTAGTAAATTAGAACACCGGTAGACCGGTACCGTGAAAGTATACGAGTATCTGTGTAGATGAGTCTGTCCCCTACTAAGTTAGTATGTCCGAATCAATGTTGGATCAAGGATCCCCTCAAGCCCACCTTCAATTCTGATTGTGAATGGGATCACTGCCGGTTGTTGGTCAATTACAAGCGATATGGCATGAATGCTCTTCAACCTCTGTCGCGCTTTCCTGCAATCTTCCAACAAATCATGCCTTCTGGATGCCCGAGCACCCTAGACTATCGCACTTTTCTCTTGCCCGCAGGCTGCGATGTAATTTTCCATCTGGTGTCATTACCCTATCAAATGGTTCGCTTCACCATCACAGGACCTGATTCTCATCCCTCCAGCGAGACATGGTTTACCGGAAAGCACCGCATTCCCGCATGTCCCACACACTGAGCAAAATGCGGTGAGCCAATCAGAGATAACCCTGCCGGCAGAAGACAATCAGTAATCAGAGATGCTCGACTGCTACAGTAGTACAAATACAAAAGTACGGAGAGAAGTTATGGAAGTTATACGAGGTTAATCAGCCAAGTATATCCCTGTCAGTTCCGGTTTATAGGCTCCTGCCCTCTGCACAATACCGTACGAGTACTAGTCCTCGAGCATAATACGAGTGGTGTGGTAATACTTGTACCGTACCGGAGCGGGTTAGTGAGATGCTCCGATCTCAGCCTGCGAGATCCGCTTGACCCAAAAGGGCACCCTGTTTATGCGAATGATCCACGTGAGATCTTTCCCTTTCTGGTTTCGCAGGATCGGTAGCGCGGTCGGCCACCCTCACAACATTCCGCCATCCGCGATCACTCACCGTGGGTCCGGGAGGTTCAAAGGGGGATTACAGAGGGAGGGGATAGCTTCAAGTTCCAAATTTCCGCCCACCGCCAGTTTCCGTCGCCAAGCTGCACCCGACTTAACCCAAGTCCCATGATAGAATTGCCGTGTTTGATGCATTCCGCACGGCCGGCTTATGCCTTTCTGGTACCGGTCGCTTGAGGCAATCCACATCCGAAAAAAAGCTTGCCTCACCACAATAGCACCAGCACTCATGTCTGTAGCTCTATTTGTTTTAGTCGAGCTAGAAACCGAGACCGGAGGGCCCATGCCACCCAGCAGCTATGAGTGGAGTACTGCGCGTTACTTTAGTGTTTGAAGCGTAGCTGATAGGGAGTAGTCCCTTTTCAGCAGGGGGAGGATTGCAGCTGGGAGGTGATGAGGGATTATGTCTCTCATCCTTCGCCGTCACACTCAATCCATTAAGCACCAGTGGTCAAATCAGGTTTACGTAAGCCCGCCATGCTCTAACTCTAACCCGTAGGTAGGTACCGGTATCCATCTCGAGTTCAAAAGCCCCGATGATAATCCTTTTGGACTCCTTGTTCATCCCAGCCGGAGATACAAGTAACCTGGAGATATCAGACGAAAAAAACAATATAAGATAAGAGTTTGTGGGGGGGGGGGGCAAAGAATAAAATAGTGGTGTCCATGAACATGGCAAGCGAGCCGGGAGGGAGAGGAAGACGAGAGCAAAGCACCCGCCCGGGACAAAGGATAGTGGGTCGAGGGTAGGGGTTGAACCAAACTTTCGGGTGAAGGTTGATCCTGATTCAATCGTCAAACGAGGTTCACTGATAACCGATGAGAGCCGATTAATTGGTAATAAATTCCTAATTGCATGCTTCTCTCGGAAGGGGTGGTGGTAGAAGTGATAGAGGTGAAATGTGTAATCCCCCCAGAAGTTAGGGGGGGGGGGTTAATGGGCAAAAGGCGGTCAACGAGACCATCCCGAAGTTTAGAACAGCGATGAACTCAATACCGGCACGTGAACGTGAGCCACTCTATGGTACTTGTAAGGGGGGTTTGACATTCCTCCCTATCGCTTCTGGCGCCATAAATCCTCATAGCTCGTTGTGGCGTTGAAGCAGAACAATTGTCCAGCCCCAAGTTTAATCTAGTTAGACAACTATAGTGATCGAGTAAAGTACCGTACCGGTACTGTGCGAGTATGATATCATACTGAAATTTGAATGCTCATACTTTAGAATTGCACTATATATAGCACGGTAAAAAAGCTATGAAAATGTATTCTACGCTACCGCTCCAGACCTCAAACCTTGTACAAGTAGCCAAGTGGCCGGTCGCTGGAGGTACTGGTGCTTTGCTCAATCGAGCCTATCCCATTATGGCAGCTATTGGCCACTGGCATACCGAACCTTGAGTGGCCCCTGTTTATAACTGTACGGGTACGGTACTACTCGTAGTACTTCATGTGATACTCGAGTAGAGGCAGGGTTAGGAGGACCTGGATTCAGGTACTCGTACCGTAGATGGTTTTGGTACCTGGTCGTTACCTGCCAAATCATAATTACAGGATCCGAACACCCCGAATTAATTTGTCTCCGCGTTGGCGCCAAGGAGTCCGGATACCGGCACTTTCTGAATTAACAAGCACTCGAGGTGCCAGTTCTGGTAATTGAACGACATTTGTGTATTTGTACGGTACACAGCCGCTGTTTCATGATACCAAGATCCAAGCTGAAAAGCTGAAATTTGGCGGTATGCGATACCGGTTGTGTAACTTGTGCTTGCAGACGTCGTCCAATTACAATCCATCGAGCACAAGTACCCAGCATTCACGCGTAGAAGACGAAAAATTTGAGTCCAAATCTAGTATGGGCACACGGATGCCCGCGGGCAATTTGCCACCAATGTTCTGGCTCTGCGTAGGTGCCTGCCCCTGGGAAGCCAATCCACAGAAGAAAGGCCCCCACGCAAATTACCCCACGGCGCTCGTGTGGTATGGCAGTGCCATACCAAAAACGATTTTCAATTCTCTTATTGGCCCCAGAAAATATTGTAAAACTCGAGATGTACGTGAAAACCGAGTCACCTCCCGTGATGCTGGACCACGTAACCCAGGAACAAGCCGAGCTCTAAATACCGATACTTGAGCGCTTGAACCAAAGACCCCCTAATCTGTTGACTTTTCTACTCCCCTAAATTCTGCAAGAAGTGGAGAAGGTGCCCTCCCGGAATGGCTAGAATGATGGGGCTAGACGTGAGAAGGTGAACTAGACGATAGATATAAATACTCGCTAAGGGCAACCCGTGAAGCACACATGTATTATACTCGCGAACTAACATTTCTGGGAACCAAAAGAAGCTTCATAAAACCATACCGAACAAATGTAATGCATGAGAGCATTCTATCGCAGCAATTATAGGAACTCGGTAGAAACCCCAGCAAGGCGTACAAACACCCCATCGCCATCCTGCGCGCTCCGCAATCACCCTGGACAATGTTTTGATGGGAACCGATCCCTAAACCTAATTCCCTATGCTGAGCGACTGGGAATGGATCTCGTACCCGCAAGCAGATGCCCTGATACCGCATGTCCCATAGGGAATCAATCAGTCACAACACAGCATCCCGCGATGTTATTTACCTCCTAATGGCATACATGACAAACACGCTCTTGGACAGGCCTTGCCTGTTCATATCACTGCCAATATCACCCACGGCACTGCTTTTATGGATGATATTGTTAACCCGCAATGTTTGCTCGTCCGCGGAAGCGCTGGCGCTGGTTTCCGAGCCGGGCCTAGCATAGCCGACCACCCCTAGCGGTATGGCGGGTGGCCACCCCCGAAAGCTCTAAAAACGGGTGATGTTTGGTGAGTGGAGCTTGGGAGCTTGGGAGTATGGGACGTCACTTTGGTGCGTATCTACTGGGCTGCCACGAGTACTCGAGTACCGAAGGGCAGGATAGCGATCATTGGTGCACAATAAACCTCTGGGCGCGTTCAACAGATTGCAGAGCCGTATATAGCATATCGTGCTATCCCTCAGCTACACCGAGTCACTCGTCCGGGGCAAGAAATACCCGAAAATATAGGTCGTGAGATTGTGCGAGCGCTCGGATAAGCGAAGATTCTTTGCGATATATTTCGCAAATCTGGAGAACCTATCCCCGGATATCTCTCTCCGGGGACGAGTGCTGTACTAGCACTCGTAATCATTAGCCGGGGCCAGCTTGGCTTTGCAGTGCCGATAGCTCCGAAATAGCCGCTCAACGTCGCCCGTTGTTTAAACTGAAGAGATAAATATGTGTTGGGATTTACCTCCAGAACCCCCTTCTCTCGCGGTAACCACGCCCCAACCTCGCGGATTATCATCTAGGCAGGGATGTCGCTTCAGAAAACGATGGAAAACAAGTCTCTTGTCATATCCCTGGCAGCATCCGCCGCAATCCTGACTCTTGTCGCTCCCGTGGTTCGGCGTGATTATCAAGCCTATCTATCTCTCGGTCCAGGGGGTGTCCCACATGATGCCCGTGGGTGGCTCCTCGCGAACCTCCTCCGTCCTTTCGGACGGGAGACGATGAGCATCACCGTGTACGGCGGTGCCTCGGCTGGGGTATTAAAGGATATCTCCCGGAGGCCCGGCGGTCGCCCAAGAACAGGAAAGCACCCAATCCCACATCGCCAGACTTCCGATCTAGGTACCTCGGAAACTCGCCGGGTTTGTTTTCTCACCGAATATCCGGCGCAAGGTTGCTAATGAGATCGCTATGAGCAAGAGGAGCCACGAGCTTTTAGCGAGGCTGCGAGAGCGGAATCTTGAGCTCGTTGAGATCGCTACTTCCGTCCTCGAGCGCCGGGGACCCGCGTTGTTCATTCATCGGAATATACCTAGTCCGCACAAGGTCGCAGAGTCGACACGGAGGGAAATCGGCCATGTCCACGACAGCGATGGATCCTTGCATCTCGTGCTCTCACCAGCCGACTGTGCGGAGGTAATAGGGAAGGGATGGGGAGAAAGGCATCCGTTGAGCGGGAGCAGGCTGTTGCCGTCCCAATATCTCTTGGTGTATGCGCCTAGGGACGAGAGCGAGGTTCATGTAATCGAGACAATATTGAAGGCAGCCATTGGCTATATGGCCGATAGCAGAGGAGTTGTATAGCAGGAGGAAAGATTTACAAATAGATTTATGGTTGGACGACCGAAATGCCTTGACTGTAAATTTCTGAATCCCGACGTACTGGTTATAATTCTGGATGCGAGGCTGTTCATGATTAGTGACGTCTTACTCAGAGCTCCGCCAAGGTAGTAGCGTCCAGGAAGATTTCCAACACGAGCCCGAAGGATTACCTACAAGTATCATACTGAGAACACGATGCCCCCGTCCCAGAAGCGCATGGGTGGCCGAGGTAGAGACTGCCGGCACTAGAAACTTACTCCGCCCTGATATCCCTCGATGCCAGCACCAATTGCCTAGCGGAAGTCGCTAAAGATGGGGGGCCCAGTGCTTTGCCCACATGGGACCAAACATTCTGAATGCAGCTCGGGCGAGAGGGGGGTCCATGAGAGGAAACCCGACATGCTAGAGCATCTACTGCACCGCACCAGTACAAGTACTCACACCAGCCAAATTACTACCGTGCGCTAACACTGGTACTCGAGTATAAATTTAAACAGTCTTTAATGTAATATCTCCACATGCCCCCATCCCCTGTTCAGGCAAATCTCGGTGGGGCACAAGCGAGAATGTTCAAGGATGACCGATGTTTGAACGGTTGAACACTTTCCAAGCATAGAGTTCCTATGCCAGAGACAACCGTCTATACTATATCAAGTCCTGAGGAGATAGATACGGATCATACATACGGTACCCGACTACGGTAGATGTGGTGGGTGAAAGAGTAGAGTACCAGTACAGTACCGCATGGTAACAATCTTCTGGACGAGAGCTTTCGATGGGATGGTCTATGTCCGAGTCCAGCAACGAACGTCCGAGGAAGTTTCCCCGAGATCCGAGCGCTAAGTTGGAGGGATTTTTTTTCTTTTCCTTTCTTCCCTTTTCTCTTCTCTTCTTTTCTTTTTCCCTTCCACAGATTTACCGCACTCGTATCATATCATACAAGTGCTCGTACCAAACTGCAACATGCAGAAAATGCGTGGCAGGCGCCCCAAAGCGTGGCCAAGAAAGTTACCATAATATAAAAAACAAAAAAGCAAAAACTCCTCATCACCCCTTAAAAAAAATAAAAATAAGAATAAAGTAAAAAACAAATCAATAAATAACTATAAAGTCGAAACGTCGATTTATAATCTTGTGGATTGCCGGCCTTTACTGTACTCGAGTACCGGTACTGGATTTCACGAGATCTTGCGGTGCCGGTAGCCGGTATGAAAGAAAGATTTTTTTTTAATTTTTGACTATGACGGGATTTTTCCTCCCCCCTCCTTCTTCCACAGGGCCGCCCGACCCGACGTCGAGGAGAGGAGTTCAGGATCCGCCATCGACAGATAGTTTAACCTCTCCATGGCAGGGGCTGGGCACTGGGGGGAGGGGAGGAGGATCGCAGGGGATAGCCATCAACCCAGGGTTGCCGTACAGTACTGTAGACAGAAATTGGACTGGGCGCTGCGCTGCACTGCACGTACCGGTACTCCAGTGGCGACGTCTTCAAATATCGGCTCAAATATTTGCAATGTATTATATGTATGCCTTTGACCGCTATTCCTCGGGGGGGGGGGAGGCCCAACCCCAAGTACTAGCACCCTATAATATGAGTACGGAGGTGGGAATTCTTCAGTGGTGCGCCCCTCTCGAGTTATCATCGGTACTCGAGTAGTCTACGGTGATCCTAGCAGCGGGGCCAGGCATTGATCGTACCGCACCAAGTTTGGATACGCTACGCTACGGTAAGCCTTTCACCCGTACGGGTACCGTACTTTGTAGTTTAGTCGCGTGGGTATGGTACGGTGCCGGTGGGTGCCCGTACGTTACAGTGCTGCGCCAGTGCCGGTACTAGTACAAGTACGATGTAGTGTTCGGTTTCTACAATCACGAGAGGACCCTCGACCACCGTGGTGGGGGGGGGGATCTTACCACGCCGGTTCGGATATGGGATGTGTGCTACGGCTCAAAGGGGTTCATCGTATCATACATACCGGTCGTACTTGTACTGTGGGACTGTTCGCTGCTGGTTCGACAAATCAGTAGACTAAAAGTTCCAAGGGCCCGGGATGCTCGAGAGATATCAGCCCCCACAAGTACTAGTACCGTACTTGTACTTGTAGTGCTTTTTTCACCTTTCATGCTCAATAATGAGTCGGCGGTCTTGCAGACCACCCCCAGTGCTGGTACAGTACTGATGCTGACGCCGTGGCACATTTCTTCCAGCTCCGCGGATCATGAACTACGAACCGTTCCTGCTGACCCCGTACCGTAGCCCGCCCCAGCGGCTCGGGGTTTGTTGAGCCGGTGACGGAAAGTTGCCGTACTGTATTGTACTTGTAGGCTAAGGAGGTTTGAAGTGGTACTTGTAAAGGACCCACGGTACTAGTGCTCGTATCTCATACTCGAGCACCCTAAGTGAAACACTTTTTATCTAAGGGCCGTACCGTACCGTACGGCACTCCACAGTTATGATATGAGTGGGGTTGCCACCGCCCAGCGGGATTCTTGCTTTATCTTGGGTTTGGTTTGAATTCGAACCGTGCTTGTACTGCACGGTACTCGAGTAATTATATAGGCCTTTGCATTCCGGGTTAGATTGCAGAACTGCCGCATACAGGCCTCTGTCATTACAGCGTCTACCCTACCATATGTATGATATATAGGAGAGGAGGTCCCAGAGGCGAAGAGGGGAGCAAGCACGGAAAGCTCCGGTGAAAGAAACTTTACTGAAGCTGCATGCCGCCCGATTTGATGATATTCCAGAACAAATTGATATGCAGTTAGTTCCACATTTGCAGAGGAATGATGAAATCCCATGTGGTGGATTCCGGATGGGGGTAGGAAAGAAGGAAAGTAGGAAAAAGCATAAGGTAAGTATATGAAGCGCAAGTTCTCAGTCGAGTGAGGGTCTGTGCAAGCCATTGAGACAATACTAACCATTATGATACCGGCACTGGTACACCGCTTTCAGCCGCCTACGGTACTTGTCCACTCTGCCTCTGACAGGATCTATTGGGTAAGGAATGGGGGTGGGGGGAAATTTCGGCATCGGCGAATTCCCACGTTGTTGGCAAAAAGCAATGTGTGCAACGTCATGTCGAACATTTCCGGCATCACGGAAGAAGGGTTGCGATCCCGGAATCGGGTTTGGGGGGTTGGAGGCCTCGTTCCTCCATTTCCCGATGCCCTTTCGTCGAGTTCCGTGCCGGGACGGTGATAATTTGGGGGTACAGTACCATAGGCACTCCTGTCGAGTGCCTCGCACTGTAGAAGCGAGTGCGCTCTTGTCGAGATTCGTGCTGGAGTTGATCTTACTCGAGTGGGCCGTTACCGGTGCTCCTACAAATGTAAAATGTATTGGGTACCGTACTCAAGCAGAGTATCGTCTCGCGCTTGTGCAAATCTGGGTCATTCCCCGCACCCTTCCAACACCGAGCCGAGGAGAAAAAAGTTTTTTCTCCTATCCTTTTGTTAAAACTGCCCCGGTGAACCCGGAATCATTACTCGTACCGTAGGGCACTCTGCCGGCAGAGAACCAGAGCTGCAGAGTGCTTTTCTCCCTCCCACACCCACTGTACTTGTACAGTTGCAACAAGATGTCTCGTCTCGTTTTGGCGGGGAATCCCACGTTGCGCTTGCAGAGCCAAGATTGCGATACGTCCAATCAGGGCTCACTGTTGACGAAAGTTGTCAGCCAAGGGCTTCTGGAAACGGCCTGAGCGGCACAACCCGTGCTCGATATTGTCGTGCGGTGGGCGGATACCGTTGGTGGAATCGCGATGCGGGGTTGCACATTGGGAAAAATCCTCTCGCGGGTGGATGGGGGGAGGGGGGGTTTGAAATCTATTGCTGTGTGATACTGGATTCAGGGGGTTGAAGGGTCAAACAGAGCTGTGCTGGACTTTCCATTACAGGTGGGGGGGAGCTGGGTGGAGAATCGTTCGTTACTGGTGGATCCCGTCCCGTACCATTTTTGCTGCTCGAGTACCGGTGGTCTCCCGCACTCCACTCTCGATGATGGAGGCATTTCTTGAATAAAGTACTCGTACATATCGTACTCGAGTGGGAGCGTGGTGAGTACAAGTATGCTTACGGGGGTGCGATACTCGAGTCCAGCGCCAGTAAGATCTACAGAACGGTTTTTTCAGGGTACAGGCATTCTCGTGTGCTTCGATGGCTGGCGACGGATGGCGCATGCCCGCTTCCCTATTGGGTGGGGGTGTTGGTTGGATGGAGTTCTTGTGATATGATAAGGTAGGGGAGAGTACCCTACCTGCGCTTGCACGAGAAGCTCTCCCAAGCTTACTCGTACAGCGCGGCACCGCTATCCCACCTGTACCGTATTCTGAGGGGCGAAAAGTGATATTGGATTTTGTGCAACCTCTCCTTCACTTTGAGCAAGGGGGAGCAATCGGGCGATGCCACCACATGGCTCTCCTTAGCTTCTTGGCGCTACCGTACCGTATTTGTTTCTTTTCTTTTCAGGGACGGCAAGGTATCTTGGTCAAAAATAAGATTTTCCAGGTATCATGGAGTGGTACAGCAGCCCAAGGGATTTAGCCTCCCCGGATAGGCGTCAGCTGGGCGTGAAATCCCCAGGAGTATTGGAACCATATATCTCTGGGTGGCTGCCGCACAGGGTGGATTTTTCTTTCTTTCGCTCTCCCTTCTTCCTCCCCCCGTCGTTGCCGGGAGATTCTGGTGGCCATGGTCGATGAGCGGAACGCGATGGATTCACCAGAAGACCGGGGGCCGATGATGCTCAGAGTGAATGCGGCCTTCTTGGGATGTACGATACTGTTTGTGAGTTTGCGATCCTACGCAAAGATTAGTGTGAAGGCTTTTGGTACGGATGATGGTAGGGCTCTAATTTATCCGTTTGAATATATCTTGGTTGGAGTGGAGTTTGGGCTAATTCTCCCTAGTGTTGGTTTGCCTTGCAGGAGTAACTCTCCCCTTAAATGTTCCTCGGCCGCGTGGGAAATGCAGTGGGGTGGTTCAGCTAACCCGTTTGTCCGTCAAAAGTTGTCCAGTGTTGGGCTATTTGTGACTGGCTTTTTTGGTACGTAATGTTGGGTTGGAGAGGGGTCATGAAATAATTCTCACAGAATTTCTAGCGATGAAGCATGGCATGGGAAGGCATGTCGGGACAATATCTCCAGAGGAATTGGTAATGTACACCAAGGTGAGTTAAATCCCCTCTCCCAGAATAGAGTCATCGCCAATTCGACTCTAACAAATTTAATAGATGGTCTGGATCAGCGGATTGGTTCACTCCGCGTCGATAGCCTTCGTCAAAGCTTCACTACTGGCACTTTATATACGCCTCTCATCCAGCAGAACCTACCGAAGCCTGAGCTATATCACGCTAGTATTGGTGGTTAGCCATGTGATCTCAAGCCTGACGGTGACCATATTTCAATGCGCCCCGGTGCCGTACATGTGGGACAAGACGATCAAAGGCCACTGCATCCCAACACGGATTTTCCACTTTACAAATACGGGACTGGACATTCTGACCGGCGTGTTGATATGCACCCTCCCGATGCTAATGCTTTGGGGGATCCAACTTCCGAAACGTCAGATACTCGGACTGTGCATAGTGTTCTCACTCGGGGCATTGTAAGTCACCCTTCCCCAACCGACTCACCCAGCGTCTAATGACAACGCAGAGCTTGCGCAGCAAGCATAATCCGCACCATCTACCTCCGCGAGCTCCTCGAATCTCACGACCCAACATGTACAATCCCTTCCCTGTATATCGCTTGCCCAAGCTAACCCCCATCAGGGACGGTGGTAGACTCATTTAACTGGTCCATAATCGAACTTCACGCTGCAATCTTGGCCGCCTGCACACTGAGCCTGAAAACCCTGATGGAACGCCACTTCCCAAACCTCCTCGGTGCACCCTACCACTACTCACACTCCGCTCCGAGCGGCATGCGGATGAAGACGAAATTGGGCCGACATACGCACTACCGCGTCAAACACCACATGGCGTACGCGCTCGGAAGCATGGATACTCGTGAGCATACTACGAATCACATTGAGGGTGGCGGAGGGGTAGGTGGGGGAGGTGTGTTGAGTGACAAGGATAGGGAGGATGGCGGTGGGATGATGGCTGTTGGGGGCGACGGGGAGAGTGAGATTTTGTTTATCGAGGTTCCGGATGGGGGGATTATCAAGACTACCGAGGTGGAGGTTAGAGTTGTCGAGAGGGGATGACAACTATCATGACCTGGGGGGCTTTTTTTTGGTTTTGGTTTTGGTATGATATTTGTTTTTTTTCTCTTTTTCTCGGTCTGCTTATTTGCGCCGCCAGGAGTCTGTTTTTTTGTTTTTTTTTCCCGAGATTTCTCCCATAAGGGAGGAGGAGGGAGCGCGGGGGGAGGGAGGAGCCCTTACCCTTACCCCGCACTGTATTCTTGTATTAGATGGCTATCTGGCCGGGGCGCGGGTTTGGGATACCATAAACTGCTTGGGGAATTTCTTATGATACCACAGTATCTATGTTTACTTGGGGGGGGGGGGGTTATTATTTAATGGACGGTTCGGTCAGTCGGTCGGGTGCTGTGCAGGCACGGGATCAGACGGTTATTTCGCTTCATCAATGGGAAAATCATGCCTGATGACATGAATTAGCGGATATGACTGCACGGTTCGAGTGAGTGTTTGTGATGCGCCAGATTCTTGTACTGTACTTGTACCATACGTGTACCCATACTATACAATAAAAGTGAGATTTTGAGACCATGAAAGGTACTTTACTATACCGTACATCCCACAGCCACATATATGCAGAATCACAAAAGATATCGCTACAGTCCGTCCTCCGTTTAAATACCACGTCTACGAATCCCGGTGACGTTATCCCTGGGATCAACCCCTTAGCGGTACCATATCAAAACCCCGGCTCGCAGTGGTTTTTTTTCTTTTCTTTTCCACACTCAGGAACACTGAAGTTAACCCGAACCCGGACCTACGGTACAGCACTTTCCCGAAGGCGCCGTGGCATGATAGGTATCGTACCTACAATATCAAAGTCTGACAATAGGCGTAGAAAACCCCCACCGGGCACGGACCCAAGCATGCATACGATGCCAGCGGCACGGAATCTATCGTGGTAAAGTGATTGGAGTGATTATCCATGACGTGGGAGGGTATTCGCAGAAAACTTTTTGGATTTGAGATGATAACGGGGGAAGGGTCGGATAAAGGGTATACGCGGTTTTCTACCGTATATCCTTCAAGTTCTAGTGGTGGTGGGTTGGATGTAGGGAAGGGATTTTTGGGGGGTTTGTCTGGAGTTGATTCACAATGGGGGGGGGGGGGGTGCGGGATTAGGGGTGTTTGACTGCTGGGGATCACCCCGGGATATAATCTTGTGATGACACCTGGAGGATACTCATGAGGTGCTAGAGTTATGGTTGATCCTTGCAGTCGTTCATCTATGCATGTACTCGAGTATGTGCTGGTATCTGTAACCTGACTATGGTACAGGAGGGTGCACAGTATATCATGGTATCAAATTCCGGGGCACAAAATCAACCAAATACGGTACACTTCTTTGTATTTCCACCCGCTTAATCTTGGTTCCCTAAACCTCGAGCCCCTTCCACGCCCTAATTGATATTTCTGGGAACACCACTCAATTGCGAATACCGCCATCCCGCTCATTCGGGCTTCTGTGCACAAAGTTGGTGAGGGATCTGCGGAGGCTCCTCACAACCGGAGGATCACCCGACGGCCCGCTGGAAAGTGCAGCACCAGGTACCTGTACTCGAGTAAAGACAGCGTGAGCATCCGATGAGATGCTAGTCAAGAATCTATGTCGCTTTTGAGCGGCTCGGAACTAGCCGTGGGGAAGATGTGATGAAGTCGCCCGTCACTGCCGGGAGTTTCCGCAAGGTGGGGTTGCACGAACAGGAGGGGTAGAAAGATACCACCTCAAGATTAGGTCGGGGCTTTATTCTCGGGGAGTTTTGAAGTTTATTTCTGAGCTGTTGGTGAACAGGGAGCCTTCTTCCGGGTCGTTGGGGACGAGCATTTCGACGTCTTTGTGGAAGTGACCGTGGAAGAAGAGGTTCGGCGGGAGGTCTGGGACTAGATCCCCGTCTATTACTCGCCGGCATAGCTATTGTGGAGCGGGTTGCAGCCGGAAAGGAGGAGTTAGCCCGTCGGGGGGTGAAGGTGGGAGCTGCGCGAAGGAATTCTAAATCGCCATGTCAGCAGCCATTGTTCTCTCGAGAAGGAATACTCGAGCTGGCGCAAGCCATAACTTAATCGGGTAGGGCCCCGAGAACAATGGAATTGCACGCTTCAAGTTGACGTTTCCACGGCAACCGTGGGCACCGATGTATCGTAATAGGATGCACCACTCGAGCACCGCCAGACTCAACCTCCCAGCTAAATCCCCCATCACTGTCACCCGTGTCTCGCCCGCCAAGGGGCGGGACGCGAAAGTGCTCTAGCACAGCCACTACTTGTATTCGTACAAGTAACAAAAGTCTTGGTGAAACAGCTTCTCCTTGCCTCTTGAACCGACCCCTCCCCCACACATGGCACCAACCGCGGAATAACCCCCCCTCACAAGCTAGCATCGTGCGGGAGTCCCCAACAAGGTGAAATTCAGTTCCGCCAAGGCTTTTCCCTAGTGACTGTATCTTTTTCACTCATTTGAGCGCAATACGAGCACCGCAATGTGGTCCTAAATCCCAGCCTTGGAATGCCGTTTTCGGAAAGTGCGATGGACGGTCTGGAAGAGTAAAACCGGTTCCGCCCAATCGGTAATCCGGAGCAACGTGCATCACTAGCTCGTGCGATTCTTTAAGGATGAATCTGTAAGGCGTCTTTAGCGCTGAGAATGTACTCGTATGCATCGGTGAAAATCCTACGCTAATCAGTATTATAGGCAAGGAGGCTCGGGGTACGAGGGAAAAAATAGTACGGTACGCAGACGTTCTTGGCCTTGTCTTCGACTGCATAGTGGGGGGGACGATCACGTCCAAGAATAGGCGACCCCCACCGGTGCCCTGATGCTATTGGGTACTAATTGTGTCCGTGGGCAAAGTAACGGGTATGATAGCGTCTAGGGATCTATCCTGAATTGCCGCTCCACTGCCTGGAGTTGAGGTTGGGGGAGAAAAACATAGTTTCCCAATGGGTGCTGCCGCGGATATTGGAGAACGTGTATGTGCCAAAGATAGCTTCCTCTATCGGTCAATCGAAGTATCTATGCTCTGGGGGGAACATGAATACCATGGATTATAGTGTGTTGTGGTGAATTGCATAACCCAGATCAATACAAGAACGGAGCCGTGTCAATCACTAGTGCCTCGGCCAACACTGGTAGGAAAAGAAGCACAATTGACGACAGGACACAAGTTATGACCGTTACTAATCCACCCGGTAGCTTTTGGATACCCCCGCGGCCGTGTGTTGCTCCTTCCTTGGCAGTATACTGAGGCATTTTACCTCACATCCATTGTGTGTCTGAATCGACCTGATGGAGTAGTGATCCCGCTCGACAAGTGATGGCACTTCCAGATTTGGAAGCTGACCCAACTATGACGAGGGTGTGAGGTCTGAATCAGCATTTAGGCGCTGTAAAAGAAGGCATGAATTCGTACTATTCAGGAGAGTCCGCCCGGGGTACTAGGGTATCCTCCAGCGGTAGGGTCGAAGTTGGGCTCCAGAAATACGGGCAGGGTTGGTCGGTTGGCCAATCGGGTAAGGATTCTCAATACCTTTGGCCTCTGGTTGGCTCGTGGATCTCAGATAACTATCGGAGCGTCCCACTTCAACTTGGTTGAGTACGGTAGATATTTATGCAAGGTTGGTTGCGGTTCTTGAGCTAATTGCATAGCATCCTAGGCTGGGTGAATCAGCTGATCAAATGTTGAAATCGGGTTGTACGGTGCCGTGCTCATAGTGCTCGTAATGTCGTGACGTTTGTGAAATAGATTGCTGTGCTGACGGTAATTAGCCGAGCCTCAGAATTTAGGTGGTGTGGAATAGTAGTCCATTTTGCAAACGTCACAACATTTTGGATATTGTGCTCTAGTACCGGTACTACCTCTCTCGAGGGGTGCTTTCTTAGTTACCCTATCGTCGTGGCTAGTTGTGGTCCTAACTTGATTGGAAGAAGAACTTGGCGGGATATGCATACCCCGGTATTCGAGTGCAAGTGCAGTACCGTACAGTACTCGAGAACATGCACAGTCAGTGCTGCACTCGAAAAACGAAGCCCGGCTCCATCATGAAAATCCTCACCAGAGAGATGGCAAGGATTGGCCTGGGATGAATGGCAAGTTGTGGAAATTCTTTGATAGTGCAAACTAAAAGCTTAGATGCCGTGATATGTTTGGCGATCCCCACCGGCCGGGTCTTGCTAGATACTTGAATACTTGAGTACGATGTCTGATGACACCGGGCCGAAGAGCTACTGGTGTAGGATACTGGGGATTGGTGCACCGAATCTGTCCATTTTAGCTTGTGGCTTTGCTGCTAAACTTGGACAAAGAATTCGTCCGTCTCTCTCCGATCCTTGGGGCTGCTCCGGAATATCCGCTACTCTAGAGTATCTAAGGTGTCATGGTGGTTAGATAGGGGGGTGGAGGGGAAATATGGTTGGAGGGACTTCTATGCATGTTTATATCCTCTGCCCGAGCACAGTCATTCGCATGGTCAAGATCGCTCGGGCCCGAGGAGGAAACCATTTTGCTTACTAAGGAGAAGGAAAAAAAAATCACCCACCACATATGCTCCAGTATATGTTTGATGGTCTTTAAAGGTGAAAGCTGGTATGATATCATACCGGTGGGGGAAAACCAGAATGAACATCATGCCCTCGGGATCAAAGGGGGGGGGAATTAACATCTCACTAACACTCTTTCTGTCCCAGGGTTAGAAGCTATTCAACGTTCTAGCGCCACTGCCACCCCGAGAAAACCTATTCCACCCCCTTGATTATCATCTCCCCACATCACATCCCGTTAGGAGGAACATCGCGGGTCGACATCGGTATACGAGTATCTTGGGCAATCAAGTCCGAGCACTTCAATCAATTAGTGAGTTTGAACTCAGTTTTAGTCCAGACATGGCTGGATGGGGGGTTCTGGGAGGATCCTGTAGGAGAGCATGATTGCACTAGGGGGTCTAAGTATACTCGAGTACAGTGTATCATAGTACTCTTATGGTGGAGGCGGTGCCACCGTTAGATGATAAAACCCTCTCGTAGTTTGGTGCTAATCCAAGCATACGGTACGTTGGAAAGGGGGGGATGTGGCCAAATATTCACTGACCGGACTGCTGCATTGGATCTAGCTCGAGCGCAAGGCTGTATCTGTGAAGCGAGAGTTTTTCCGGGATTGAAAGGCCGTATGATATCATACCACACGCCCGGTAGGCAGTGCCTCGGACAAGCTATGATAGCTCCCACGATATCATACACTGCTCTGAGGAACTCCAGCAGCATTCTAGATTAGGGTTCGTATTAGCAATCATGAGACCCTACTCGGCCTGAGTGTTCCACCTGAATTTCTCGCCTCGCAGTATTGGCATAAGGGTATGGGGAGTCACTGAGTCTTTCCGCGTGCCCTGGGATACGGTATCATACTCCTGTAACAGTATATACCTTCCACCCCTATTTACTTCCAGCAGACCTTGTCCCTTGAGCACCCGAGCGAGGCCCACGGGGCTTTAAGCTGAACCTTATCATCCGAACTGAAGATTTCAACCCATTTTTTTTTCTTTTCAGCTCAAACCTGGGTTTACACGACGCCATGTGCCCGGCCAGAGAGATATCAAGTGAGGGAAAGTTTCCCGAGAATTCCCACCACCAAATGTGATTCCTAGCTCTTACCATGAAGCCCTAAAACGCACCCCCCCTGGTGCACCCAGAAGCAAAGTCCGTGATATCCGGCAGAAAGATATTTCCCCGAATTTTCTTCTAGAAGTCGGCATCCGAACCCGATGGAATTTTGATAACGAGCCCTACATCGAGGGTGGGAGGGCTACTGAATACGAGCGAGGCACACACACATTGCTACCTAACGCCCATGGTATCACAAAGGTTACAGAAAAGAGCAGATAAGGCAACTTCGGTTACTGGACAGTAGCCCTACCGGTAAGTCTGTATGATAGAACTGTGGCGGTATGATATGTATCATATCATAGCACTGGAGTAAGTAGGGCTTTTTTGTTGTCGTCCTCGTCGTTGTCGGGGGTGTAACCTAATTTTCCATAATTCACGTACCATAGACAAAAAATAAAAATAAAAGTGCAATATTCCTCGAGTTCGAGATATCTACGCACATTTTTTGTCCAGCGCACAATAACTACTGTGTTGTATTTGTGATTTACTATGATACGGCACATGTACGAGTACAGTACCGTACAGTACCGTACTCACTGAGTGAGTGAGTGAGTGAGTGAGTGAGTAATACAGGTCTCGATCGGCGGCAAATTTTTATAATTTTTATTTTGTTTTTTATCCATCCAACTCGCGCCATTTCGTGGAGGGTTTCTTGGTGAAATTTTGGCAACCCACTCGTCGGTCACCTCCGGGCGAGTTTTTTTTTTGTTCCACCGGGAGGGGGGACTGCAAGGGGGCCGCTTATGGAGGATCGTTAAGCCTGCTAGAGATATGATAAAGGTTTTTTTTTTTTCAGCGCGCCCTCCCAGAATGGCTCTCCAGAACAACCATTCGTGGGACATCCCTAAACCATAAATCCACCCCTCCTATGGCTATTCTTCCCATCGGATTTTTTTTAAGTTTTTTTTTTTTTTCCGTTTGGGGGAGTTGACTTATTGTTAACCTGACGAGTTCCAGTTCCCATTCCCCTTTTCCTCTGCTCCCCCGTGAACCGCCCCTCGAGTGATACATAATGAACTGCTCCCACCCAAGCCACCTACGGCACTAGGACTAGTACTCGTACTAGTACAATACCGGTACATGTGGCGAAGTTCACACATAATCTCTGACTCAACAACTAATTTGCGTCGAGTGGCCGGCGAAGCCTGGATGTCCGTCCGTGTCCTTCGCTGCCTAGTCAAGGGATGACTTGACGGAGAGAGCATCACGCTTGGCAGCGGGTCGGGGGTGATCAACTCATTACCGGTATCAGCTTTCATTGGCTTGTGAAATAAGCGAGACAGGCGCGTCGAGTCAAGGGGGGGCTTACGGTACTCGTGCTCGTGAGTGTTTTTTGTCAACAGCGACGTCGAGGTTCGCGTCCAGGGTTTGTATGATACGGTAGATATTGGTGGGTGTCCCGGTATTGTTTTTTTTTTCAGTGGAATTTCGAACAATCAAACCGAAGGTGGCTGTCCCTGTTGGGTTTCAACCCACGATTCTCGGCGATGAAAGTTAGGCCAGCCATATACCATGATGTTTGAATGATGGGCTCTGGACGTCTTTCCATGTCCAGAGCCGCTGAGTTCCAGAATGACTACTGATGAGAGTCACTCGGTTGGTGGCTGGATCCTTGATAAGGGGGTTCCTCATCATCATCACCACCCCCCCCCCCCACGTCCTCAACCTTTAGAACAAGGCTCAGAGCGGTTGCGGATCTCCATGTGGCCCTCCGATTTTACTACGCCAATCATGTACGGTACTAATTTTTTTTATCCCAATTCTCAGGCCGCCCAGATATACTGCGGGACTTTAGCTCACGATATCCCGTGCCACCCTGTCATGTCAAACGGCGACGATTAAAGTGCTCACAATCCTAGCAACCCAGGGGGCTTTGAAACAACTCTTTTTCCACAAGATTCTGTCGAGCTCAGCTAAGCCCTGACATTCAGATCCGACCTATCCCCCCCCCCCCCTCCCGGTAGTTAGTATCCGAGTGACAGTCCATGACATGTGGGACTAAACTTTGCTCCGTCCGTTCACGAGATTACCCTTCCCGCGTTTTTCCACAGGGGATCAGATCTACCCCCCCCCCTCCCCGGATCTTCCATCCGACCCAAGTACACTCTACAGGTACACTACGGAGAATAGCATAAACCCCTTCTTAATCTCCTAACAAAACCTACCCCCCCCCCCCCCAGTTTACGAAAGTGCACACGATTGATACGCGTGGACAGAGGCACACAGAAGTCACGAGCACTCACTCGTAAAATTAGGCCCTAGCCCAAACTGGAGACAAGGGCTAATTTGTGATATGCTGCGCTCCACAATAGGGCTTCCGTGGTGCCTTTTTAACGCATGATCTTAGGGAGTAATCTCCCTCTGCCAAGTAATCTTGACTGGAATGATGTGCACCATAAGTAAATACTTGTAGATAGACGGATGTACGAGTACTAGTATGATACTGCACCCCTGACCACCCATGCCTGACTCGGTGGCTGGGCGGGCTGATCGGCCACTACCGTATGATATGACGGTGTGGAACGTGAATATGGTCGAGTGAGGGCACATGACCTACAGCGGACGGGTTGTCTCGGATAGCAGATCCGAGCCACTGTGGCTTCAATATCGTGATTAAAGAAAGAGAGGGGAGACTTTTTTTTTATCCACCACTTTCAATTTGCCCTTCGCTAGCTAGACTCAAGTATGATAGGAAAAACGGCTCTGGTATGGTAAATGGAAAAGGGAATGGAAAACTGGAAAAATAGGCATGATAGAAGGAAATAGGAGAAGGAAGACGCCGCCCGTTTATGTGTGCACTTCGACTAACCAGACCAGAAATACCGTTGCTGAACAAATCATCCTGTAAGAAAGGAAGAGAAGGAAAAAATAAAACCGATGGGAAAAAGGAAAAGAACTCCAGATGTGATGAAAACGAGACTAGGGAAAAAGGATGAGACTGAGAGAAAAGAGGAAAACTAAAACCAAAACATTAAAAACACCATATAATGCTGAGCTATAGTAAGGGAAAAGGTAAGGAGGAAAAAAAAAACCAGAAAACCAAACCCAAAGACAATATTGAACAGGAGAAGAGGAAAGGAAAAGCGCACAAAACACAGTACAACAAAGAGACCTATATACCAATCTGGCCTCTGGCACGAACAACTTCAACAGTAAAAAAGCATGAAACATCAACGGCGCAACCCCGCCAATAGCGGTGTATCGGACCAACCCTACCCTACTCCACTCTACTCCCGGCTCATTCCTCGGAACCTCCCAACCCAGCCACTCCCGTCGCCAACCTCATTATCAACATCCTCCTCGACCGGCCAAAGATCAAAGCGGAAAGCAGCCTCCCTCTCGACAGGGATCAACCTACGCCCCCACTGATCCTCGAATCGCACCTCCCCGTGCCGCAACTTCCTCGCAATAACTGGACGGATCTCGTCCTCGTCCTCCGAGGAGTCCATGTAGATCCCGCTATCCCTGGGGTTATCCCTGACCATGAGGTCGATTTCGTCGCCGGGCCGTGAAGGGGATCGCACACGCGGCGGCGTAACGACATGCGGCTGCGGGCCGGTAAGCGACGAAGGCGGGATCCGCCACGACGGGGGTGGCGACGGGGGATGGTAGAAGTATAAATCTTCCGGAGGGGAGAGATGATTGTCAGTGTTTGTGCTGGGGAGGTGCTTGGACGAGCTATTGGGCGACCTGTTCGGGGATCGGTTCGGAGACCTGTTCGGCGAACGGTTTGGCGAGCCAGCGAAGCCCAGACCAGCATTTATCGCCGGGTCGTTGAGGGCCTCGCGGGTCTTTTGCTTCTTGCTGGACGGCTCCTCGAACATCAGGAACGGCGCTGCAGGAACAACCTCCACTCTGTCCAGGAAGCGGACAAACTTCTTGAGCCTTGCGCCCGCTTCCGAACAGATGTCCTTCTTCCTGATCGCCGACTTGACGGGCTTGCGCGCGCCGGCCGAGCTCATTGCCCCTCGCAGGGAGGATGTGAAGGTGGAGACGGACATGCCATTTCCCATGTCTTCCGCTGGTGTCGTTGGGGGCGAAGTCTCTATTCCTGCGGACTCGTCCAGGAAGAATTCCGGTACCGGTTCCTCTTCTTCTATCACTTGCTGCGGTGATAACGAAGGCTTCCTCGGGGAAGCTAGGGTCGTGGAGATGAAGAGCCCTCCCATCACGCTAGGGATGCGTCGAAGACTTGCGATGCGGGGTGTATTTATGCTTGAGGAAGGGGGAGTATATGTAAAGAGTATATCCCAGATGTGGGTGGGTAAGGGGATTAGTGGGAGCACCGGGGGGGGGTTGTCAAATGATCCGTTTGGGGAAAGGGTCCTGACGAGGAAGAAAAAAACTATATATTCAGATTCCCCACGAGACCCGAACGATTCGGGGGAGGAGAGAAAAGAGATAAAAAAAATCAGAAATAAAATCGAACAGTCACCCCCAAACGCGAAACCGCTACTATTCCCAAGTGTGATAAAAATCCCGTCTCAAACATAGAAACCCGTGGCCCCGAAATATTTACTTCTCTCGAAAATGGAAAGCGAAAGTGGGTAGGGAGGGGGATGTGGGGAGGAATTTATGGACGGAGGGGCAGGGGCAGGAAGACAGAAGGAAAATATATTAGATGAAAACCGACCGTGAAATAGACCCTCCAAGATACAGCCTTTACGATTGTATGAGGGGGAGGTCCGAACTCTGGTTATATATGTTTCCGTCCAAACCACGGATGAGGGAGTGGCCTCGCCCAGTTTTTGTCATTTGCCCTCACCCGAAGGATGGTAAGGGAATTCTGACAGTAACTAATCGGAAGCCCTAGACGGGGGGGGGGGGGGTGTATGGATGGGAAGTGGACGAGAAAAAGAAAAAACAAATCCAGAGCGCACACCACACCAACTTTTCCCAAGGTACAACAGGATACGCACGTATTAAGGCAGTGTAGATGTTCTTCCTTCTCTCTGGGCTCTTCCGTCTTCGAGCCTTTGCACTAGGGAACAACGGTGGGAGGGGGGGGGGGTAAAGCAGAAATGCACTTGCTAGAGGGAGTTATGGTAGCAACAACGGAGTCTACTTATCGACTTGTGCGTCCATATAAAGGTAAGTCGTGGTGGTGAAGAGTCGCAGTCAGTGGGTCCGGCAGGATAGGCAGGGGAGCAGCAGCAGGGGGTGGCGAGGACACCAAGCAAGTGAGTGAGTGAAGTGAATGTGAGTGAGTGAGTGAGTGTACTGGATGGTGTGAGTAAGTGCAAAGACAGGGATCCGGCCGCAAAGGAGGAGCGCGGTTTCGGGTGTTTCCCCAGTGGCTGAACCGTCGCATCGGGTCTTCTGAGCTTTCTTTTTTGCTCATTTCAGTTCACCACTTCGCCATATCGTGTTCGGATCACCATCATCCATTCCGTCCCATGGCGAACTCCACTCCCCTAGCCTCGCACTTCCATACCGTACCGATGCCTCCTGCATCTGTCCTTCTTCCCGCCCGCGATAGCTCCATTCGCTCGCCTATTGACCACCTCTCCTCTCCCCCCTCCTCATCCCTCTGTTTGCTTTTTCTCGAGCTTGGGGGGGGAAGAACAGGTTGGTGGTGGTGGTGGAAGGAATGGAGCGGATCTACTGCACTGCATGCATGCACGCGTATCGGGATAAAATATTACTGCCCGACCGAACGCAGCCAGCCCAAGCCAGCCCAAAGCGCACCAGAACCGACCAACCATGTCCGCCCATTCATCCGATGTTGGGCTTCGTGCAAAGCCGGGGAGGTGAAATGTAGAGGAACACCACAAACGAGCCCGAACAAAGTGACAGAATGAATGATAGGTAGGGCAACGGGTGCGGGCAGGTTGGGTGAAGAGGGCGAGTGGGTAGGTGGGATGTTAGCGAACGGATGGATTGTCAGCCACGCGCACCTTGCGTCGCGTCGGAAAGTCCCAATTCACAGGTGCTGCGGGACCAAGCCGAACCAGCCGGATGGAGAAGTAATTTAACCCGGCCAGACAGGGTCATACAGAGCATATCGAAGACTAAACACTGAAGCGAGACCGATGCGTATGATGGCTGGATGGACAGGAAGACGCTATGCCACGGCCCCGTCTTGTCATTGATAACCAATTTCGTCACCTGTCTCCCTGGGCCTCTCCTGCCTTCCACCGTACGGTACTGGTAAACCCTGGAACCATCGTCTCCGGTGTGACGGCGATCACGATGGCTATGGTTGCGAGCGAGTGTGGGAGGGAGTGGCTGGGCAATTACAAAAAAAGAATGCTCGTGCGATAGATAATCCTTCCCCCGTTTCCTTCCAAAAAAATCAAAAAAAATCTCATAAGCAGACTAAAATCGCACGTACGCCAGGCAGACTGCACCGAATAATAGGTCGAGGGGAAAGTGATGATGATACGTCATGGATCACATCTTATTCAACATGACGGGGATCGAATATCACTTTTTTTCCGTTTCGACACCTCCCCTCTTGCTTCCTCCTTCTCTTTGCACGGTAGACTACGATTCTTATACTTGTACTCTCCTACCCTATCATTCTGGCCCCGCGCTACTATAGCGCCCTAGGGCTACGATACGCTTGGGAGCCATAGTAAAAAGTGACCATCATAATATTATCATACTGTGCAGTGGATAATATCGCAACGAGACGGGACGCCTCCACTTTTGCAAATCATGTGTCATAAAACATGACTCGCAGCGCACAAAGCGCTCCACGACCGCTAATCCCGTACCGCGTCAAACGGAGCTACCGGTAGAGCATACGAGAATCCGCGGTGAAGAGTTGTTTCGAAAAGTGGTCATTGGACAATTCCTACTGTCCTTGCTTGCGCTCCCTACGCCCACGCATGCGAAGGTCACAGATATCGAGGGCACAAGTACTCGCACTCCTAACAGATTTGCCTTGCCCAAAACGGTCAGTTCCATACAGCAATCCTTCCCCCCCCCCGATACGATTCGATACGGTCTCCTCAACAGCCACCCCTCTCTCTCCCCCCCCAAAAGTGAATTTTTCTGATAAAGAATAAAATTAAAAAAAAAAAAATGCGATATCACATATATCTCCAACGCCTCCACCCTCAGCCTTCCGCTACTGCCGTAAAACTGGCCGGACTCCGATGGTCACATGCCAATTTCCGCGTTGATGAGCCCTGCATACTCCACATCCCCATCCCTAGCCATGGCATACCGGTAGGCATGCGAAAAAAAAAAAAGGAAAAGTTTCGTCCAAACTTTTTACTTCCCATAGCTAAACAACGGACCACGATCACTTCCCTGACTAATCCAACCGATGATCGTCCCTTCCCCAGAAGGATCCCCATGGCAGACGTCGTGCTGCTTTCGGGATTGTAAAATGCCGGGGGGGGCAACGAACACGGGGGGACAACGAACACAGGTGGCGGTGGTAGATAGTGGTGGGATGGAAAGCTCTGTGTGGCTGGTGGTAAATGACGAAATAATTAGTTAAGAACAACAAGTTAGTAAATAGACTTCAAATCATAAGGTGAGATTATTGCTACGATCTGTATCCAAACAAACAGAACAATCCTTTTCTATATCATGTCTTCTCTTTCAGATTCAGAGACCGAAATCGTACCTGCAACTTCAAGTCCTAGAGAATTTACGGCTCAAGTCCGTGAACAAATGGGAATTGACCTTTTGGATCGTGGAATTGCTACAACTACAGCTTCCGCGGCTGAGATGGTTGGAGTAAGACCATCTACTTTACGGCATCGCAAGTTAGGACGACGCTCAAAGGATGAAGAAAATCAACTACGTCAAAAGCTTACATCGGAGGAAGAAAAGTTTCTTCTTGAGAGATGTGAGCGGCTGGGAAAATGCGGTTTCCCAGTGACCGTTGAAGATATGCGTGAGCATGCTCTTCATATTTACCAACAACGAGTACCTGAAGGTACTCTTAGTAAATATTGGGTAAAGGATAGCCTTTATCGCCGGCATCCTGAGATAAAGTCAAAGTTTAGTAAACAGTTAGATTATAAGAGAAGGATTTGTGGAAATAACAAGGATTTATTAAACCACTACTTCGATATGGTATGTAATTAAATTTTATTAAATAAATTCAAAACTATTAAAACATATTTAACTCTTAAGTTTATTTTAGTATTACGATGTTGTTACTCGATTTTTTATCAAGCCTCAAAATACGTACAATATCGATGAGATAGGTTTTCTGATGGGACTTGGAGCTTCAGAAAGAGTGATTGAAGTAATTCGTCATCCTCGTGAAAATGGCTCTCTAATTTACACAAACCAAGGTATGTACATATATTTTTAATCATCTTACAGAAAGAGTATATTCAAATATAGAGAATATAACTAGTTATTTATATAGTTTAAACTTATATACTAGTATTATATTTTTCTATCTTACAATATAATTTTTCTATAAGTACAAGAAAGAAAAATAACTAAAATACAATACAGAGGGATCACGAGAGTTTGCTACCGTAATTGAAGGAGTCTGCGGTGATGGAACAGCACTAGAAGCACCTTGCATCATATTCAAAGCTAAAGAGTTTCGCTCAGAATGGTTTAAAAACTTACCTGGTATCCCACCGCGTACGTTATTTGGTATATCACCAAATGGTTGGACCGATGAGAAAATGGGTGCCCGATTTCTGAAGCGCAATTTCGGACCTAAAAGTATGTCAGCCAGTAAAGCACAGGGGGAATATAGGCTACTTATCTTTGATGGCCATAATTCCCATGTCAATACACAGTTTATAACTTATTGTCTTGACAATAAAGTTATTCCACTGTGCCTACCTCCACATACCACACACCGATTGCAGCCACTAGATGTTGCAATATTTAGTTCCTATAAACACCATTATCGTAAGGAGATTCGAAAGAGGTGGGCACGACGGGAGTGGGGAATTGGAAAGGAGAATTTCTATGAAATTGTTAGTCTGGCTCGAGAAAGATCATTTACGGCCAAAAATATACGATCAGCCTTTTGGTATACTGGTCACATACCTATCGATAGAGATATTGTTTTGCGCAATATCCCTAACCCGAAAAGCCCACCACATACTCCCGAGCCCGTTGAAGATATACCCTCACCAGGACACCTTGATCGACTTTCTGCGGAGGAGGTAGTAGAGTTTCATACACCAACAAGTATTCGTCAGTTAAGATATCAAGAAAAACTGATAGAAGGAGAATTGGGATATGATTCTAACTCACCTCGGAGCTGGAAACGACGACGATTGTTTCAAAATATCGTCCATGCTGCTCACCATAGCATGTTGCAGGCTGAAGAGCGTAAGAAGGACATTTCCGATCTGTTAGCCGCTGAAAAGCGAGAGAGAGAGAGAAAACAGAAAAATCGACAGCGCATACCTGCAGAAGGACGAGCCTGGTTGGATTTAGATGATGTTAATGACTTTTTCATTAATCAAGAGAAGGAAAAAGAAAAAAAAATCGAAGCAAAGAAGGAAAGAATTGAAAAGGCAATCAGAACTCAACAAACCTTATTAAAAGAGGTGGAGCGAAAGCAAGCTCAGGCATTAGCACGCGAGAAGCTGCATACTCTTCCGAAGACCTGGAAAACATCTGGTCAGCATGAAGATCAGCGGAGTAATATTAGCAAGAAGCTTGATCTTTTACTCAATGAGCAAAAGATCCTATACTCCTCTCTTATCGAATGCAGTCCTTCTATATCTGATCAGCATGATACTACTAAGCGGAGGTTTCATGATCTGGACATAGGAGATTTGCAAGAGGAGGAAGATATACCAGAAAATAGTGTGGGTGGAGAATCCGAGGCTGCAACCCCAGAACCTTTTTTTCTGTAAATATTTCTTAAGTATTCTCCTAAAAAAATTCAAATGGAGTAGTATTACCTGCAATTGGTACACCACAAGCCACAGGTATTTCCGGGAACCGGATCCGTGTTCGTTGTCCCCCCGTGTTCGTTGCCCCCCCCGGCATTTTACTTCGTTTCCGCCTGGCTGGTTACTGAGAAGTGGGCTCCGATATCCTCCCGCTCTCCGCTTCACCCTTCTCACGTACGGTGCTGTACTGTACCGGTGACCCCACCTCGGCACCCGTATCACCCGAAACGGGGGGGAGGGGAGGAAACGCGAGGGTACCGGTACTCTACACGTACATCTGTACACTTTAGATAGAGTACGGACGCATGCACGCATCCCGCAAATGAGTTGACCAACCCAGCCTTCGGGGGGATTCCCAGGTAAACTCTTGAACTTGTCGTTAAACTGGTTACCGCATTACGCCTGCACATTCTCGTAGTGATTGCGGCCGTCCATACGTATAAGATGGTACCGGTATCAATGACAGCAAGAACCTTGATCACCTTTTTCTTTCTTTCTTTCTTTTTTTTCTCTTCAGCTTTTTCTTGCGAACACGGAAAAAGATTGGGGAGTGGAAGGGAAAAGGAGGATGATGTGGGGTCCGTTATTTGCGGTATTGCCAACTGCAATGCGTGACCGGAATGGGCTGCTTACTGAGGCTGAACGAGTGGGCTCTCTCTCTCTCTCTCTCCATTTTTTTTTCTTCCGCATCATCTCAAAAGTATGATAAGGGGGAGGTTTCCGGATGGGAAAACCGATTGCACTCACGATGCTCTGCTTCCGGCGTTCTGAATTGTCACCACGGTGACTTACGCTGCTGCAGCATTCAAAAGTGCAAATGGAGGGGCCAGGAGGGTGTTATGAATTACGCCCCCCCCGAGTGAGGGAAGTTGACCTGCAAGAGCTAACTTAAAAAGCGAGAGACTAAAAATGTACCGGTGATGGATATTTTTTTATTTGTTTTTTCCTTTTTCAAAATGATGATGATGATAAAGAAAAATGGGAATAAAATAGCCAACCGCAGTGCGACAGACTTTTTGTTATTCCGGGCTGGTAATTGCGTTCGCTCACATATTTCCCTCACTTTCCCATGCTGGCTGACCTTCAGGGTGGGAAGCTACGATGGGTCTTCGGGCCATCGTGCTACCCTACCGTATGGGAGCCAGACTGGGAGTCTGAGGAGGGGAAGCAAGCAAGCAAACACGCAGCGGGCAGAAGGTGTGAAGGGAGGTGAAGATGGTGTTGAAGGTGATGGTGGGAAATGAAGCGGGGTCTGTGCCCCCCCTCCAAAAGTTATATCGACAAGCTGCCCATAAACCGCATCGTACTCACCACCCCCCAGATATCTTTCCTGGTATTTTTTTTTTCCTTTTTCCCTTGTTATTGTTGCAGGAGCCGATACCTACTTCTTTGGCACAAAGGGCGCATCGTAGGGGGTGTCATGTATGATCACTCGACTGACTCCCTAAACGTTTTGTTGGACGGTGCTTCTACGGAGGGATGCACTACGGTTTTACGCTCCATGATACACCGGGCGGTGCTCTATTGCACTGCAACGCTGGTACTGTGGGCGTAGTTGTTATTTTGATATACCCAAAACTTAGTTGGTGGACTTTGTCCTGATTTGACACAGGCTACCGTGCGAGTGGTTCTCGAGCAAAGGACCCAGGAAAGGAAAGGGAAGGGAAATTCTAGCATCGTCGGAACACACCAAGTACTAGTACTCGAGTACTGTGTTCGTACAATAAAGGCTTTTCGGGTTACATCATCCCATCGATCAGACAAACGGATACGGTAAGCCGGGAATTCCCCCACACCGAAACCTCCTCGAGGCCGTCCGGCTACCGTAGGTATCGTTGCCTCCTTCTATCTTTTCTGCAGACCACTCCACTCTATCGTACCGGTATCCATGCCAAGTATACTGGTGTTGGAGCAGGTGGGAAGGAAGGGAGAAGAGAAAAATGAGGGAACGGAAGAAGCTTCCGCTCGTCGGCGGGGGGCTTTCTGTGAAAATAGCCCCGGGCTGCCGTGCTAGTGTAATCCTGCCCTCCTGTCTCAACACCTCCCCCTCTCCCTCACGCTGAGCCCCGTGCGAACGCTCAGATTCCTCCTGTTTCTGCCCTCTGCGCGAATTTGCCGGGCGGGGAGTGAGGTTGTCGTACTGGGCGTATTCATGATCATCTGTTTTGGAAGAGGAATAAATGGAGGAGGGGGAGGAGATGACTCGCCATCAGCTGGGGCAGGCGAATCAGGTTAGCCGGGGGGGTTGGGATTTGGGAGTTGATTGAGATGGTTATAATGTTACGGATGGATTGGGGGGCATAGTCTATTCAAGTGTCCCGATAGTATGGCGTGGGACAACGCAAATCAACTAACAACCAACTCCAGATATGGCCAACTTTGAACTCTCTTAGCTCAGGAACCATAGCCCCTATGCTGAAAAAGGTTCTGTAAAAGCGTTTACTCTATGATTGTCCAGAGAATCACGGAAGGGTTTAAAGGAATTTCCACTTACCATGATGCTATGGCGATTGGAGGATTTGTCATTTTTGTAGGAGGGCAGCCAAATTATCACGGCCCAAGCTAGCTATATCAAGTGCCGGTGACTTTTTGACGGCACTACTCCAATGGGGTGAATCCATTTTGCAGATCGTTCCCCGTATGAACGATTTAACCAAAAGAGGAAAGTGATTGGCAGCTTAATTGGTAGTTGTGAACTAGCGGGGGTGTCGGATTTATGTATCCGGCATTTTACCTGCAGCAGCAGGAATATCATTTTGTCTGATATGTAGGCAAATACCGCAGTGCGGTTTATTGTGGAAGAGGCATGGAGTCTCACATTCCCACTGCGGTACGACCCGGTTTCCATAAAGCCAGCGAGTGTTTCTGTGCACCTCCCTGGGGACCTTGATAGAGTACCTCAGTGTTACGTTATCGCCACCATACTAGCGGAGCACTCAGACAGCGGAAAACCAACCAAGTCGTAACCAGGTTTCTCAACCTCACCTCATCGCTCCCCCTCTCAACAAGCAAACACCGGTGCACGCCCAAGAACTCACCAGTCGGTACGAGTGCCACGGCCGTGTATTTCAAAAGGGAGCAGTTAGCGAAGTTTCAACTTCTCAAGGATCAGGCGGCGATCCCATGTTTCACCCGATCTTGTGATGCACGTCGGAACTGCACTTCCTATCTCCCTCTCTCCCTCTCTGTGGCGTCTGTGATTTTCTGCTGTTTTACCTTAGCCACTTATTTTACTTTTACTCTTTCTTCCTTTTTCCCCAACCCGATCCTGCGATGAATGAAATATATGCGCAGCCGACTGAGCCCATAGGGTTGAGAGACAGTCCACTCGAGTACAAGTGAGTACAACGGTGTATGATATGGTGATAACGATAACAGTGGTAATGACACCAAAGCCGCGGACCGAAAGGCAACCCATAGTGGCATCGAGAACTCAACTGGTCTACTAGTACAGAAGTTGGTCTGCAGATACTGTACTGTATTCGCGCCCGAGATTATTAATATGAAAACTCCTCACAATCAAATGGCTCTACCGGTATTCGCCGGTTGTTGTACTGGTCCAGTACTTGTACGAGTACAGTACCGTACGGTTTTGGCAGAAGACCAGATCATTCAGATTTTCAGATTACGATTACGAAAGCAAGATTCCCGATCTCCTTCCCCCTCCAGCAACCCAGCCCCGCTGAAGATCTTTAGAACCGGACTGGACGAGTCATGCGATGAAGATCTCTGCCAAATACTAACCCAATTATCTCGGTCTGTTCGAAAGCAGTAGAGTGCCCGCCCCTGGACCCGCTTCGGAAGAAACCTTTTTGTTTTTCCTTTTTTCTTTTCCTCCCCAATCTGGTATTTTGTTTTATTATTTTTCACCTTTTTTGAGCGACATAACACAGCTTTTGGAGGTAGGAAGGGGGTGCCGTATCAGAGAAGCGGGGTACCGTACAGTGCCGATACTCGAGTACGAGTATTAGACTATGGCCTATCAGTGCAAATCTCGAATGGCAGTTTCTAAGGTCCTCACCGCTACCTCAGCTTTTTTCGGCTGGAGATTTCTGGACAGTAGCCTCGGTGTGGCGTTCTGCGAGCGCAGTGCAGGGAAGCTGAAGGTACGTTCCTTATTTTCTATTCGTTGGTTTCCTCACAACCCCTGAGTCGAAAGGGTTATGGGATATCGTGAAAAAAAAAAGGAGGGGGGGGGGGGATCACTCTCTATCAAAGAAGTTGGTATAAAAAGCCTGCAGAACACAAATTGAACTGTATAGGAACGGTGACACTGCATACCTCAATGCCCAATGCAATGAACAGTGCTACAGTACTCCTCCTAGAGCCGGAGCATATTGAAACTTTATTTTCCGTGAAACGCCGTGGCCAGCTGAAAGGGGAGTGGCGCACACCCACACACACACGATCGCCAGAGGTCAAATGCGTTCTCCTTTGTCGGAATAGGAAACTTTCTCCTCACTCTTCCCACGAGACTATAGTCTACCGTATGAGCCTGGTGCCCTGCTATAAAGGGCGATTCATCAAACACCGGCTGAAAGGGATGAAACAAACAACAGCAATTACGTTGGTAACAGCTCGTTATAAGTGCTAGCGTAATCATCAATGCTCACTCGGAACACCCTGCCTTTGGGGTTGAGGATTATGAATGGAGGAGAAGGGGAGCCCAGTTTGTGCTCCTGGGCGTCCCCAGAACGGCCATTGGTTGATCTGAGAGCCCTGCATTAGCTGAAATTAATTTGCCGGATCTGTTGCGCACCTGGAAGGTCGACACATCCCTCATCTATTTAACTGAGGTCGTGGGCTCGGTAAGAACGTTGCGCTGCAATGCAAGCACAAGCAGCGTACGACACCTAAGGTATAGGTGTAATACAAGCAGTAGAATGTCTTGGAGCCTCGCTTCCCTCGTGTGTACGGTAGATGACTTGAAATAGGGACATCCGGGTTGTGCATTCCCATCACGTTTTTGGAGACTTTGGAGGGGGGGGGGGGGAAGGAGATTTGTCTCGGTGCGCGCGCTGCCTTGCCGGTGGGTTGGATTATTGGCGGAGGACCAGATGTATGGACGAAAGTGGTGGGCTTTCCAATTTATCCGCTCTCTCTGTTGTATTTGGAGGGGGGGAAGTTTGTGATTGGAGTGGCCCATTTTATTTTAGACGCTCTTGCCCTCAGTTTGAGTAATCAGAAAAAGTGAAGAAGGGGGGGGGGAAAGGGTTGCGCATGTAAATTGCATCTCACTGCAGGCGAGAAGTGTAAATAGATAAAAAAAATAAAAAAATGGAAAAGACAAAGGGGGTAAAAAGAAAAAAGGGAGAACTAAGGTTGGTGGTGTGCAGTACAGTAAGCTGTGATTCCTGAGAATGCGAAATAAAACTGAGGGGAAAAATGGAGGATCCAGATCCCTTTCAAACGTTATTCAATTTCCGAAATGGCATTTTGTCACGTTTTATCACTCGGGGTGCCTGTAGCGATCGAATGGCGAGCCTGAGCTCACATAGCGTGCCAAGCAATGCGATACGATACGGTGCGATAACTGACCGTAAACCCATACTGGGAGCCACTAGCCGGGCGAGCATCAAAAAAAGAATGCATATCTCAATGGGGATGATGTAAGAATAGAGGGGGTAGTCTTACATACTTCAGAGAGGAGGAAAAGAGGACCCAAGTTGGGCCTTTAAGTGCAGAATTAACTTTAGGCGTTGGGGATAAGGATGTGGTCCGGCTTGGGCCCTCCTCAGCAGTACAGTATCCTCCTACACAATGTGCTCCTCGTGCAGTAAATTTACGCCATCAAAGCCTCGTCTTTTGTTCTTTTTTTTTTACACAGCAATGCTCCTGTCTGTCTCTGCGGGCGTGCACTCTAAAATCCCCTACGATAGTTGCAAGGGAACGTTATTTGTCGGGGTTTTCTACATCAGTACAAGTACGGCAGGAGCCACCATTTCCCGGCACCGAACTTTATAGTGCGAGGTCCGTTTTCGGTATCGCTTTTCCCCCTTAAAGTCGTAGTTTTCTGCAATGTATCAGTTGTATAGGACAGGGTATGATGCTGCATTACGGTACTAGAATTCGAGAATATCTCCTGGGTCCTAGGGATCGACATCCCACAGGGGCCTTAATAGGCTTGGGCTATTATAACACAATCTCGGAGCCCATCCCGCGTGTGATGCTTCGATACGAAAGATAAGGTAGAGGCCTTTTCGTCCGGTGGGTCTCTCGAACGTTTCGCTGTTGGGTCACTGAAAGTGGAAGAATTGGCATGGATGACTGCTAGCTCGCTGTTTGCGGAGGCGGGGTTTCGGCGTGCTTAGTTGATCAGGGACAGATTTGAGAATATCCCTAGGAAGCCGAGAGGGAAAGGGGAGGACCTGTTTCTGAGGTTTATGGCACTAGTCACTAGAAAATCATTAGTAGATGATCGTGTAGTCGGTGCTCAGCTACACATTGGACTGATATTCTGCGATTGATCTCTGCTTCTTCTCGGGGAGACGGCTGTCTCTTGCCCTTCTAACACACTTACGCATTTCAAGTGAGCGCGAGAGACTACAGGTATGAAGGGCCGAGGCTGGGGCTTTTTTTGTTATCTCGTTTCCGCGATCGAGCCCCGGTGTGGCCAATTCGTGACGGACAAGCCCCCACTGACAAGGCTTTTTATAAGGAGAGAGGTATATTTGAGCAATGCGTACCCCCGTTTGGGTGTGCTTCGTGGCCGACCAGAAGGAAACTAAGGTCTCACTATGAGAATTTACACTACCAGTTCCCAACCCCTGGGGATGGTACGGTTCCATGCGAAAAACAAGAATACTAGCATGATATTTTCACCGAGTTTGCCCACACTGATGTAGATATCCAGTCAGCACTGCTCCGAGTGAATCTGGTGTTTAACAGGGCAACCCCGTGTGCGCCCTATACTTTTACTATCATAGCTACTGCGAAGCAAAGATGCCCCGTCCGCGACACTGTCCTGCAACACTCTGTATATGATGGAAGAAAGATCGCTCGGCGAACGAGTGGTGCAGAAGAGAACGGCGAGAATAAGAAATGGAGAAAATCTCGAAGAAGGTAACTGCGCATAACTAACGGGGGGCTTAAGGGGGTCTGCCGGGATTTTCCAGACGCCCTGTTGATAGGAGAGCTCATTGTAACCCTGTATAACCGCCATACGAACATTTCTGCGGTGCATTAACTACCGTAGCAGCCGCCCCCGCCCCCTTTTCCCCGGACGATATTCTTAAACTCTTGTGTGGGTACAGTACGATGCGAAACGTCTTTTCATACCAAGACCACCTGCACCACGTGGCCGGAATTACTCCGATTAATGAACATAACATATCTAAATAGCTTCATATTGATCCAAAGTTTTACTAGGGACAGCTCACGAATATCGCCCACCTTGTGCAGTTGAATTTACCAGTCTTCAAAGTTGACAACACTGTCGCCATGCCAACTTCGTACTTAAAATGGCACTGTTGGGCCGGTGCAAAACTTTGGAAGCGCACGAAATCTTCCCCTTTGACCAACGTGAATATGGTCTACTCATGTATCAGATAATTGAGAGATTATAATAATCAACCCCTAGAAAGCCAGACAAAAGAATACAGGTCGAACCATCAACTACAAGCATCCAAACTTTATTATTTTTTGGTATAAAAAAGAAAAAAAGTGCCATTTCACGAGGACTTTTGCGTAAGGACTCAAGTACGGCCAAGAAATGGTGCATATCAGGAGGGAGGGAAATGAGATGGGATGTCCAATTCGGTATACCCTGCTGTAAAAAATCTCCAAGAAGCTAACCGCTCCCACAACTTCTCCGAGTATCTATCAATCTTGAGAGTGGTTGAGGTTTGACTGGCTTTCGCCATCTCCGGTTGGAAGATGCATTTTCGTCCCGACGGTAGGCACCCAGGGTACTTCTATGATAGTAGAAGGTATAATAGTGAGTGATAAATGTCTCGGAGGAGATTCTCCAAAAGACTCTAGCATTTTTTGTCACATTATCACCGGCCGGGGATCTGAAAAAACATCTCGCGTTAAGATTGCCTCTGCCCTTCCGATATATATATATATAGTGAAATCAAAGAACGACTTTGAGGTCAGAAAGTTTAGGTTAAGCTAAGGACCGAGGAAAGCGAGCTGCTATGATATTTTAATTCTCGGCAAAAAATCTTGGAAGATTGAAATCTAGATCTCTCTTCAAAGTGAGGTGATGTGTGCTTTCCGTTAGGTAGGAGAGTATTTCACTCGTAGCATTGTGCGCGGTATTAGTGTCTAGCCCAATCTGGTCGTGTCACAGAAGGCGGCCAATCGGCATTGCAAGGCCCACTCGCCCTCTACCAGATTCCCTCGCCACGGAATCGCAACAGGGATTACGGAAATTCGATTAAAGGTTGGAGCGGTTCTTGATAATACTAGATACATAAAAACCTTCCCACCGCACATCACTTCACTGCACCATGAATCACTCGGGGTCCATGAAATCGTCAACCCTAACAGCTACACGTAAGCTTGAAGGAGAAAAAAAGGAACAAAAGAGTGAATGAATGGCGCTTTGTTTGCCGATCGATCGGTATGGTACCCTTTCTATACAGACGGACGGACGGGATCAAAACCAGTATACACATCGTGCCCAGGCTCCAGCTGATCCGCCTCTGACCAGGCCCCACGGGTCTCAGGGCAACTTTCGGAGCGAGCAGAGCCGGGGTGTCTCACGGTATCCTCCCCGCAGGTGCTCTGATTCAAGGGATTGAATATTCGTCTCCTTTTTTGTGGCCTCGCTGGTGCGGAGCCTCCGGGGGAAAGGGTAGGAGTTGGGTCCGGGCAGGCACGTTTCCTCGTCTCCTCTCTCGGGCCTTCATTTCCTCCACCAATGCCAACAGCTCCTTTAATAGGCGTCGGGTCGGTGGCTGGGCTTTCTCTGGCCTCTCCTCTCGGACCTTCGCTTCCTCCGCCTCCGCTGACCGCGCCGTCAATGGGCACCGAGTCACGGCTTGCACGCTTCTTCCAGGGCCTTTCCCTCGGGTCTCCACTTTTTCCACCGGGGGCACTCCCTTTACCTCCACCGCCTTCTTCTTTCCTATCGCTATTTATGTAGTCGAACCAAGCATCCTCGGAAACCTTCTTGCCCCAACACTTCTCCAATGCATCCCAAACCCCACTACAATCTCCGGCACCTTTAATAATGGGGGCTGGAGCGATCAACTCCCGGGAGGACTTGACAAGCCTCCAATGCTTTAGGATTGCTCCAGCGGTAACCTCATTCTGGAGAGCTACGTACGCTATGAACTCCGCCGACGAGGCGAGGGACAACGGGGTCGACATGGAAAATGCAAAAGTGTGCGTAGTTGGGCCAACGCCCGAAGGAAGTCCCTGCACAATCCGGCCGGCATGGGCAGTGTCCTCGGGGGTAACGACGGGAAAGTGGGTCAAGTATTTGGAGTTGGCGAGGGCGTTGATTGTTACTGCAGCTCTTTGGAGAGGGGTGCGAGAGAGGTAAAAATTGGTTGGGAGGCTGCTGGAGCTGGTAGGGGTTTTCCTTTCCATTCTGATATCTGTGTTTAAGGAAAAAAAGAAAAAAAAATTGGCGCCCGTAAAAAGGGATTCGGGACCAGATGGGGATGAAAGAACTGAGATTGGGAAATTTTCTAGAGCTTCTCGAGTTTTTTTTTTTTTTTCTGCTGTGAAGAGGGGGGAGAGGGAGGATATGGAGAAAATGCCGGCTGAGGAACGCACTTGAAAGTTCTATAGGGCATCTGGGAAATCGAGTGATGGGTTGTGAGAGAGTCTAAAGTCTCGTAGAATGCCCTGCAGAAGTTTGTTTAGGTTTTTCTTCCTGTGACCTGTGGCACAAGCCATGGAGGGTATCCATATGTAAACTCTTTGAAATGGTTGGGATGGAGAATTCCATGTTGGGCATTCTATATTATTAAATTTTATACTTGTAAATTCGATGTCCTGTCGAATGGATACGGGCATTATTACACCTCCGACATTGAGGTTTTATTTTAAGGTTCATCATATTTGCATTACACTGTCGGGAGGTCAGTAGTGCACTGGAAGTTCTAGGGTAGGTATATCACTCAAGAGCATTTTGAGGGTCGAGGAATTGTGCTAAATGACCCTGAACAAAATAGAAGAAAGAACTCTACAACGCGCTGGCCCGTTCACAAAAGCAGCAAGAAAGACTTTTCCCTCCATTGCCAACAAAATGTAACATGACAAAAAAAAAAAAAAAAAAGATTCAATGGCGTATTACACATGAAATTCGAAGCGAAAGAAGAAAAGAAGAAAAAGAGAAACACACCAAGCCAGTTTTGCAGTGTTCCTGTTCAAACCATACGCTCCCACAACGCCCCCAAGTAGGAAGAAAACGACAAAAGTGAAGCTACCATCCACGCCAGGAAATGGAATCACCAAGCCCGATCCTGGCTCGGCCCGGCCGCCCCTTTCAAAAACCCATCGACAAAGGTCGCCATCTCGTCCACCTTCCAGTCGTGATGTATTTCTTCCGCTAACGTCATCAACCGCTCGTCTCCCAGAACCTCAGTAGCGCTGGATACCAAGTGCGCCAATCGTGATAAACTTGTAGCAAAGTTGACAGTTTCCGTCCTAACGCGACCGGAATCTGAGGATGCGGAGAGGGGTGTAGGAGGCGGTGGAGCAGCCCGCGGGTTTACGAGTGGTGATTGTAGGGGTGATGGCGATGGTTGTAATGGTGGTGATGACAATGGCGAGGATGATGATGAGTGCGGCTGCTGTGCAGCTTGTTTTGAGCCAGCGTTAGAGGAGGCGCGACCGGGCGAATGCTCAGTTTTTCTACGCGACTGAGGCTAAGGGTACTTTAGCTACTGGTTCTGCTGGGAGGAGGGAAGAGAAAGTAGAGGGCAAAACTCACATCCTTACTGCTCCTAGTCCTCCGCTTCCGCTTCGCCCCATCGCGGGCTCTTGCGGCGGCCCGGCCCTTGCGACATGAGATACATGTCTTTAGCGACTCAGTTGTTCCCGGTTTAGTGAAGTCCTCAACCGGTCTTTTGCGGTGGCAGTGACCGCAGACTTTTATACCAGAGGGTTGTGCGCTGCCTGACGGTGTGACAATGATCGTGGCCATGTTGGTGGTTGCGGCTGTGGTCGGTGGTATTGATGGTGTTGTTGTCAGTGTTGACGTTGCTGGTGTGGGTGGTTAGGCGATGGTGCGCCCGTTGATTACTGATTCTGGAAGGACTATGCACAATGCGCGTTGCACGGGGGCAAACGGGTGGCACAACATAGGACTTCTCTCTTTATTCCCGGCATGGGTTTTTGACATTCTACACGGTTTTCTTTTTTTTCTTTTTTCTCCCTTTTCCTCGAGAAGCCCCCACACAGGCCCAAATCGACGAGCATGACGGACTATTTGAAACTGTTCGATCAATTTGATTATGCTGTTTTGGATACACCTCAACCCTAACCTGGCCGGAGGGCGCTGATACTTGCCTTGCACCAAAGGTGGGCAATTCACAGCGCAATCCCCCCGAGCAGAGGAATTAGTATTGGCTAGCGACAATTAGCAAAGAGATATCGGAAGCGGGGGGGATAGGAGTAGTAGACTACCGCTCCGCGAGTCCTGGTCTCCGGGACCTCGAAGGTGTAATCCCTCTAATGGTTTATAGCAAACTATCCACCCACTTTATATAGCACTGTTGTAGAGGGGAAAGCGCCTAACTTACTGCTGCCGGTACCCTATGCGCTTCCTTGCTCGATAAGAGTACACTCCGACCGCACTCCAACAACGCGGCCCTAGGAGATGGACAGAACTCAAGGAAGGAAGGAAGGAAGGACCAGGGGAGAGTGAGAGAACGGAACCCCTCGGGGGTGGCAGGGAGAGGCAAAAGCCGGTCCTCGAGCGGGCATCGGGAGAGGCCATGTAATGTTAGGTGTTGTTAGTAAACCTGACAACTTCCCTATGTACAAGTAGAACCTCGACACTCGTTCATCGATCAAGCTCAAGAGGCACGATGTCTATGAACTTTGTCCGGGAAATAACAGCGACTGCACAACTACCCGCCACGCTCCAGCAATTGTGAAAATGTCCCAAATTCGGATACATAATCACACCCCAGTGGCTATCCTGAGGATGCTAAAAACCGTGTAAGTTACCCTCATGGTTCTGTGTTGGTTCCCCCAGCACTACCGTGGTGGTGCATGAACTGTCGGTGACGTTGAATCTTATGCTGGGAGCCTCCGGTTGTATTGGAAGGTCCCTGCTCGCGATACATCATATCGTGTTCCTCGAGTGATACCATATGGGCGGTCTCCCACAAAGTGTGGTGCGGGGTCACGGGCGATAGGAGTTGCTGGTACATGTTATCAGTTAGTATACTATAATTAAGAAGGTCTTCCTAAAATATAATGCTGCAAGCAGATCCTTGCCGATCCTTGCCAAACCCAAGCTTTCGGTATAATGCCCATGCGTCTAACATTATCAAGAACCTGGTCAATGATGCCTACCTGGGCACCCACGAAAGCGCATCTCCGCAGGTAACCTAAACTAAAGCCGGCACCCCATACGGCACGTACAACCCAAACACCTTTCTGTGGACTCGGATGGCAGGTAATTATATGCTTCACCCGTCCCCTGGATAGCTGCTGCGTGCGATACTGGGGTGGATCCCGCTGGGTGGATCTACTGACTCACCAGCCTATTCCGCCCAATCGACCTCGCCATCATCCCATTTTTCAAGAGTATAGTTTTTCCTCAAAGGCTGCACTTCAAACGCTACGTCCTTCCGAACACCTAAATCCTTTCCTAGCTACGCACGGTGATTAGTACATCCCATTGAGCCACCCGCTTACTGGCTCTCGGCCCGGTGAGTTTAGTCGTCTGTGGTGGCGGTATCCTTTTATGGTCAAGATATTTCTCGGTTTCCCGCCAGCCCAGGACCATGATTTCCTGTCAGAGTAGTCTTTTAGTCCCGGCGGACTGCTGCTCTGCCTTAGCTGGTCATTACCACAGACAGAGGTTTTCGCGAACACGGGGCTAATAATCGGTGAGTTGCCCACAACCATTCCTACCCATGATCCACGGGTTGTCCAGTGCGCTATGTTGATTGGGGAGTGCATGTGGTGGGAAGT